CAATAGGAATTTCTGGAGGACCTCCTTGCCCCAGCATTGGCAGGGAAGGATTCCTTGCATTTGAACAGTGAGTGACAAACACCTTTGACCAGCACATTTTGTGTTATTTAACAATCGATAGTAAAATTATGTCCGTTGTTAACTCTAAAGAAATCACATATGATCTTGACACATGACTGGGAGATGCTTTCTTAGAGGAGAGCCTTTAAGGTCAGGGTTCTTAAAATGGCGCCCCTGAGTTCCCGAAGGGTCCATGGATAGATTTGAGTGGGGTCTGTGAGGTTGGATGAGAAAAACATTGCCTCTGTTTTTATGAACTTCTAGTGGCAACTTAGCATTTCCTTCAATTATTTAAAAACATTATTCTGAAGAGGGGCCCGTAGGCTTCCCCCGACTGACAGCCGCACGGGTCCATGACGCACATACATGCCCCTGCTTGAAGGGAGGATTTGGCTCAACTGAATCGACAGTTTTTTCTACTTAACTCTCAGTTGGCACAGAGAGACCTTGTATTCTTTACACTTTTCAGTAAGTTGTGACCATAAAGATGTGGTCTGCTGCAGAATATTATTTGTGAAGTTTTCCAACTCCCTTCTCATCCTTTCATCAGGGTTGTGGTCAATGTGGTTTCCAATAAAGGTTTTGTAGGGATAGAAAAGTAGACATGAGGATGAGGGTTTGTTTTGTTTTGTTTTGTTTTTGTATGGACCCATGACCTCCCTGGTGTAGGCAGTCCCCAGTGAGTAAGCTCCATCTACTATTACACAGTGGCAACTCTTTCACAACTTGGTGTCTTAGGGCATTGCCTCGCACCCTGAGAGGTAAAGTGATTTGACCTGGCTAGCATATATTAGAGGCAAGACTGGAATCCGGGTCTTCCTTACTCTGAGGCAGGCTCACTGTCTTCTAGGACATAGTGCCTCTCATGGGGGTCAGTAGTTGTGATATTTTCACAGTCACTTTTTGAGGGCACTAATAATATCATCCTCGATGTTTTCCCAAGTATTTGGTACCCATCTTTCACTTTTTGAAATATCTTGAGGGTCAGTCCTTCAACATCCTTCTCCCTCGGTGTAGACTTTCTTCTTCTGAACTTGGTTAGTCCAGCTGCTCTTCCAAGATTTGTTTTTATGTTTTGTAGAGCCATTTCTGCTTTACTCCTCATGAGGTTCGTGGAGAAAGGTGTTAGGAACAGAAATCTCTGCAGCTTTTTCTTCCATTTTCCATCTGTTCATTGACCTTCCTCTAGTTCTATCTCTGAATGCATCGGGGATGATCTGGGTTAGTCAGATCCTTTGCCAAAACCCTCTCAAGTTTTTTTTTTTTCCCCCACCCTGCTTCTCACTCATTTGTTACGTAATATTGTTTATAATCTTCTGTCATCCTCTGTGCGACTTTACAAACGGGCTTGTATTTAAACCTGTGTTGCCTTTGGTTGCTGTATCACTGTTTGGCATGGAAATCAGCTTTTCTGACTAGAATGCTCTGTTCTCTGTTTTCTATCCTCCTTTGGCTTTTCTGTGATGCTTGATTCACATCATTTGAACTTTGCTAGAGAAAGATAGTGTTCTGTGTCAGTGTCCATTCTTTTATTCACTTCCCATGTTCGATATCAATGGCTTGTTTAATAGGACAGTTCTGAATTGCCTCGGTTGTATGCCACAACTCATTTTTATCCTTGTTTGATATTGATTTTTATCTTTGCTCTAACGCTTTGCTGTTCTGACTGTAAATAGGCAGCTGACTTGAAAATGATTTACATTTTCCTGTTGCTTCTTGTTCAGATACACTTAGTTACTTTTTTTTTGCATATGTGATATATATTACTTGGTTTCTCGATGTTCAATATCTTCTAATTCTTTGCATATAATGTATTTTTGAATATTCTTGTATAATCAAGCCTTTGGCCTTTTTCATTTATTACTCCTGAACCACATTTCCCAACAGGCTTTTCTTCATTTTCCCTAATACTTGCTTTTGCACAGAAGCCACTGAATATTCAAATATATGTTAATTGAATTTGGAAAGCCCTTTTGAGTTTAGAGCGTTCTTTTACTTCTTCCTCCTTTGAAGCAGCCATTGGCACATAAGCTGTATTTCCATGGTGTACTTTTTCTAAATGCTTTTTATGAGCCCTACAAAGCCAGATGACTACGTGATCCCCAATAACTTTGAATGCACAATAGTGTCAACTGCAGCTGGATGGACATTCTGTAGAGCTAGTCCATTGGTACCTCTACTGTACTATCATATGTGCTGGTCCATCAGTATGTATTTTGAACAAACATTGCACATAGATAATGGGCCTAGAATGGAATAGAAAAGAGAGTATTGGTGAAATAATTACTTCAATGACCTCAACCATCTCCCTAAAACAAAAGTCTTCTTGTTAACGCCAGGGTTCTTTTTGTAATGTTATATGGCTACAGATCACAGAAAACTACAAGGTCTGAGGAGTAAAAATTAGAGGTTGTTCAGAGGGTGGTAGACTCATGGTGTGTTTAATTAGGCTGCTGCATGTTAGGAATGATCACATACATACAGACGTTAAAGATATCGTCAAAGAGCTATATGCCTGGAAAAGGGGGTACCCTGGGTTTGCTGGAAAAGGCATGATTTTTAACGTATGACTTTGGAATAGATGAACACTGAGGTCCTTCTCAGTTATGAGATTCTGTAATTCCATCTCCTGTGCTGCCTTGGTGCCCCATTAATGTAAAGGGGTCTTCCAGTTGGGTGGGTCCTCTGGAGGAAGATCTACAAAAGTGGCCCTGGACGGGAGGCATGGGCGGGTGAGTTGCATACGTGTGCATTTGGTGGGAATAGCCGTAGTGATAACTTCACAAATCTATTGAAGTACTGTTTAGTTCAGGGGTGGGGAAACTGCAGCCTCAAGGCTCCATGTGGCTCTCTAGGTCCTCAAGTATGGTGCTTTGACTGAAGTTTAACCTCTGGTTAGTTCTTGCCATATTTGTACCTTCTGATTTCATCTTTGAAGAAGGAATTCCTGACAGAAAGTCATGAGGCTTCTGAGTAGTGCACAGCCAAAGTACATATTGATTGGATTTGAGGGTCATAGCCATTTCTTTGTTGAATTTCTCTACTTTATCCTTTTAAATCAATCAAAGGATCATAGAGGTATAGTTAGAAGGGATCTCAAAGGACGTTTAATCCACTCTACCCTCCCCACCCCCATTTTATAGAGGAGGAGTCTTTGGCCCAGGGAAGTTGCTGGAGATGGCGTTTGAGTTGACACCCTCTGATTCCAGAATAGGTGCCCTTGCCACCATATTGGACACTGGGCATAGAAGCAACCAACCCTGCTTGGCTTGGTGGTATCATCTTTCTGCTACTGTCCATCCTGAGCACCAGAAAGGGAGATAACCATGAGTCCCATGAAAAGATACTTCTTGTTACCTTTGTGCATATGATGAAATCAATGGGAGTTAGCATGACATTTCAGATTGAAATGGCCTGGGTTCAAGTCCTGTCCCTGACACATTTAGATTGTATGACTCTGGGCAAGTCAATTAACCTCAGTGCTCAGGGCAGCTCTTTAAAATTGTGTAAGTTAATGTATAATATAATATATAACATGATAAGGTAATATATAAGTTCTAGAGAAGGTGGAGACCTCCACTGGCTGAGGAGGTTTCCCTGTGCTGGTAAAATCCCAGGTACTGTTCCTATCCCTTTCCGCTTTTAGATTTCATTCATAACAGGAATGTCAGGACCTCAGAGTGCCACGGAGCTGCCCCGTGTTCAGAAGACTCTGCTAAGAGGGCAAAAGTTCTGATCCCTTCTCCTAATCTGGCAAAGCATCAAAGATGAGACCAGTGACACATCCCCAGCATTGGGACTATCAAGTGATAGTCATAGGTACATATGGACAATAAAGATGCAACATGGCGTTTCTCCTTGAATGCCTCCTTCTGCCCTTTGTTTGGTCGTGATTCAGGGAGACGTGTGCTTGCCAGAGCTATCAGCCCCTCTGTATGGAGATGCCCTAGGTCGATGTGGGTGGTGAGCTCCTCCTTCTTCTCCTCCATCCTCCTCCACATATCTACATATAACTTGGCCCAGAATCAGTTAGGAACAGCCCCAGAAGCTAGAGTGCCTTTGGAAAGCTGTCTAGAATGCCTAATAACCCCCCAAAATATCCACCTTTCAATGCTTATGATTGTCCAGTCTTACTGTATGGCTATAAATGACCACAACTTCTGAGCAGTGGTGGGCATGGTTACCAATGATGATGTCCATGTAAGAAGAAGCATCAGAGATACCACTAAAATATATATGTGTTGCAGAAAGGAGATGAATCAGCCATGTAGCAAGAGGGAAGGCAGCTAGGTAGCTCAGTGGATAGAGCTCCAAACTGAGTTCAAATGTTGCCTCAGTTGCTTCATGTTTTTCAGCCTCAGTTTCCTCATCTCTAAAATGGAGCTCATAATAGTACCTGCTTCCCAGGGCTGTTGTGAGAATCCAATGAGATAACACTTTGAAAGTGCTTGGCAAACCTTAAAGTCTTATATAAATGCTAGCTACCTAGTAGTAGTATCAAGAAATATTAAGTGATCCCAAGGAAGGTCTCTAGTGCAAAGGATGATCAAGACTGCATTGTTTCTTATGGAATATTCAAACACCAAAAGCTTTGTTCAGGCTTGTTGGGTAGATGTTTTACGTTGAATTTATGGGACAATGTGGATAGCAATCACCTGGGAGAAACTGGTGTGAATGGCCCTGGAGTGAGTACCAGACCACAGATTCATTGGAGTATAATTGATTTATACCTGCCAGAGTCACTGCAGATATAAACCTTCAAAATCATTGGAATTGAGACCCCAGTGTCATTCTTAGGTGAAAGTAGCTCCTGGCATATTCCCTTTCTCGAATCATCAGATTCTCTTATTGTTGCTTTTTCTTCTTTAAGGCATTCATTAAAGTTCAGCAAGACTCCGCCTGAATTTTTATTGAGTTGATGTTTTTCTTCCATCCCGTAGAGGTCTGAAGGGCGTGATCGTCACTCTGAGTGATAACGGCCATCTGCAGTGCTCCTACTTGGGTACAGACCCGTCTCTGTTCCAAGCCCCGAAAGTGGACTCTAGAGAAATAAACTATGAAGAACTCGATGTTGAAATGAAAGAGCTACAGAAAATCATCAGAGATGTCAACACATCTCCAGGTAGGCAAAGGGCTGCCTGGCGGGTGGGGTCTTCCATCACACTGTGGTGCGGGGAGAGAATCTTGTCTTCTGCACGCGTGGGATCGTTTTTTCTTCCTGCCACTTCAGAATAGCACCTATGAAAACAGCATCGTCATCAGCCCACAAGGGATCTGTGTTTCATTTGTGCGTTAAGGCCGATGGGCAACCAGCGTCCTCCTCACAGGCGCACTTATTGCTAATGTGATTCAGAAATTGGCCAGTATTGTGTTTTTCTTTATGCTCTAAAGTAAGCAGAAAATGCCAGTGGTGAGGGCTGGGATTGAGAGCTGTAGAGAGAACATTAACATTCTTACCCATTACTTCTTCATGTTCTAAATTTTTCAGAAGTCATTTCAGTTGCCTCTCTGAAGAGGAAAACAAACACTTTGAAACAGCATAGTTTACCAAAATGGCAGGTGTTTGTAAACTGCATGTGTCATTCACACGGGTAGCTGCGGCGTCATCTGGAAGGAGTGTAACTAACTGGGAACGCACTAATTACTGGGAAGTCAGTTACTAGCGATAGTTTCACTTCTCGAGTTTTCAGTACCGCAATATTATTTTACTATTTGATTCCCAAGGATGTCATTTTATGATGAAACTCAAAAACCCAGTGCTTTTCGTTAGGCATATGAAAAACATTACTTTTCAGCATCAGGTCAATGTATTTGAAAAAAATTGGAGAAAATATGAACTTTTTAAATGAAACGCGATGTTGGAACAAGTAAGAATAATAAGCGGAGTATAGTGTCAAAGGCCAAGGAAAACAAATGGAGCCCCGTTCCTTCCCTGACTCCCTCACCACACCCGCTTCTATGCGCCGGAGTCTTTCTGCTGTAAAGACTTTGTTGCTCTGGTTCTCTTAGAACTTTAGAGAAAGTGCAGATCAATTTTAAGTTAGTAACACAGATTCAAGTAGGATTATGGTGTCTTGGTCCTGGTTACACTCTTTTATTAAACTTTTAAAGGAAAACAGTGAACTGAAAATATTAAAAATTCAAAGGCCCAGAGTGGACGTATTTTTGCCCCAGTACACACACCCATTTAGAACATGTCAGGGAAGGCTGGGAGACTTTTTTGGTGTCACTTCTTCTAGAAGGTAGCTAAACTTTGATCTGCCCTGCTGACCAAGGCAGGGTTTTCCATGGCTGACAATACTTGTTTGGATCAATGGAATACCCATAATAGCCTCAGGCTCCTTCAATTTTAATTTGGGGGGAGGGAAGGGAATATACATTTGTATAGTACCTATTATGGGCCAGGCACTGTGCTGAAGGCTTTACAAATATTACCTCTTTAACCCTCACAACAATCCAGGGAGGGTTATTATCCCTATTTTTACAGTTGGAGAAACTGAGAGAATTATCACAAAGCTAGTAAGTATCTGAGGTAGGATTTAAATTCAAGTTTTCCTGACTCTAGGCCCAGTGCTCTGTCCACTGTACCACCTAGTCACCTCAGTTTAACTGACAAAAAAGGTGGCACTCATCAAATATGAAATTCCCAGAGCTCATTAAAACAATGTTTATTTATGATTATAAATAATTATAATTTCATTGCAAAGCTTGATGCTTGATGTGGCATTTCCGCTTATTCTGGAGGGTTGGCCTCCCTTGTCACTCTCCATAAGCTATGTATTAATGAGATTTTGACTGATCTTTCTTTGTAGAAAGTCCCATTCCTGCTCCAGGTGTTTGCTGGGGGTCCTTCTGACATCCTTGGGCTTGAGGCTGCAGGACTATTCTAATGGTAGCTTGGGTCCCTGGGGCTGCGTAGGTTCCAAGAGATTTTGGCACAAAGGTCACTGTTTATGTCATCTCCAAATGGAAGTCAGAGTATTTCAGGGCTTTTCTTTCATTTCTGGAGAGAGGATTTTTTCCCTTAGGTATCTGTGAAAGAGTCCTATTTGAAAAATAATATATTGGAGGGGGAGCCAAGATGGCGGAGTAGAGGCAAGGACTTGCCTGAGCTCTCCCCCAAACCCCTCCAAATACCTGTAAAAAATGGCTCTGAACAAATTCTCGAGCAGCAGAACCCACAAAAAGACAGAGTGAAACAAATTTCCAGCCCAGGACAACTTAAAAGGTTGGCAGGAAAGGTCTCTTGCACCTGGGTGAGAGAGTAGCTCAGTCCAGCTCAGGATGCGCCAGTGCAAACTAGGCCCCAGCAAATCAGAAGCAAGCCTCAGGGCCACTGAATCAGGGGCAGCAGTGGTGGTTTCCAGAGCTCTCAGCCCACAGATGATAAGGGGATCGGACAATGGATCAGAAGGGGATTTATAGGGGTCCCTTTGCTGGCGCCAGGGGCAGGACTCTGTTGCATTGCCTATACTTGAATCTGGGTCCCAGTCCTGGGTCTTCGTCCCAGGGTGAGGAGGAGCACCAGCACAGCAGAGCTTGCAGCTGCAGGGGAGCAGGATCCCTGGTCACAGTTCCAGGGTTGAAAAGAGTGCTTGTGGTAGCTCACAAACCCAGTGCGCAGTACAGGAGAGTAGTGACCATACCTCCCCCCCTAGATGATACCACGTTGGAAGAGCCAAAAACTTACAGGTCCCCAGAATTACCTCTGAAAACAGCTGTACAAAAAAACCTGAAGCTTGGGTAGTGCCCCCTCCACTTTAAAGTGGGGAAGCAGAGCCCCACTTTAGCGTAGAGTTAAAGGTCAAGAAATAGCCTGGAAAGTGAGCACACAACAGAAAAAAATTCCAACCATAGAAAGTTACTATGGTGGCAAGGAAGACCAAAACGCACACTCAGAAGAAGACAACAAAGTCAAAATTCCTGCATCCAAAGCCTCAAAGAAAAAAATACAAATTGGTCTCAGGCCAGGGAAGAGCTCAGAAAGGATTTTAAAAATCAAATAAGAGAGGTGGAAGAAAAATTGAGAAGAGAAATGAGAGTGATGCAAGAAAGTAATGAAAAAAGAGTCAATAGCTTGGTAAAGGAGGCACAAAAATACTAAAGAAAATAACACGTTAAAAAATAGAATGGGCCAAATGGTGAAAAAAAGCACAAAAATCCAGTGAGGAGAAGAACTCCTTAAAAAGTAGAATTGCCCAAATTAAAAAGGAGGTACAAAAGCTCACTGAAGAAAATTATTCCTTAAAAGTTAGAATTGGGCAAGTGGAAGCTAATGACTTTATGAAACATCAAAAAATCATCAAGCAAAATCAAAAGAATAGAAGACAATGTGAATTGTCTCATTGAAAAAACAACTGGCCTGGAAAATAGATCCAGGAGAGATAATTTAAGAATTATTGGACTACCTGAAAACCACATTAAAAAAAAGAACCTAGACATTGTCTTTCAAGAAATTATCAAGGGAAACTGCCCTGATATTCTAGAACCAGAGGGTTAAATAAAAATTGAAAGAATCCATTGATTCACCTCTTGAAAGTGATCCCCAAGTGAAAACTCCCAGGAATATTATAGCCAAATTTCAGACCTTCCAAATCAAGGAGAAAATACTTCAAGCAGCCAAAAAGAAACAATTAAAATGTTGTGTCAAGATAACACAAGCTTTAGCAGCTTCTACATTAAAGGATTGGAGGGCTTGAAATATGATATTCTGGAGGACAAAAGATCTAGGGTTACAACCAAGAATCACCTAGCTGGCAAAACTGAGTATAATCTTTCAGGGGTAAAAAATAGACATTCAGTGAAATAGAGGACTTTCAAGCATTCCTGATGGAAAGACCAGAGCTGAATAGAAAATTTGACTTTCAAATACAAGATGCAAAAGAAGCATAAAAAGGTCAACAGGAAAGAGAAATCACAAGAGATTCAATTAAGTTAAACTCTTTATATTCCTACATGGGAAAATGGTATTTACAACTCCTAAAAACTTACTCATCATTAGGGCAATTAATAGGAGTATACATGGAAAGTAGAGTGTGAATTGAATGTGATGGCATGATTATCTAAAAAGCAAAATTAAAGAATGAGAAAGGAGAATACACTGGGAAAAGGGGAAAGGGAGAGGTCGAGTGGGATAAATTATCCGACATAAGAGGCCTGGAAGAGGGGAAAATGGGGGAAGGCGGAAGGGGAGCACGTGAACCTTACTCGCATCAGCATTGGCTCAAAGAGAGAATAATGTACACGCTCAGGTATAGAAATCTGTCTTGCCATACAGGAGAGTAGGAAGGGGAGGGAATAAGAGAAGGTGGGAAAGGGAGGAGAGCTGATAGAAGGGAGGGCAGCTTGGGGGAGGTGAAATCCAGAAGCAAAACACTTTTGAGAACAGAGAAGGTAAATGGAGAGAGAGAGTAGGATAGAGGGAAACTAGGATGGAGGGAAATACATGGTTGATAATCAGTACTGTGAAAAAAAAATTTTTACAATGAGTTTCTCTGATAAAGACTTCATTTCTCAAAACTGGAAAATGGAGTCAAGTTTACAGAAATAAGAGCCATCCCTCAGTTGATAAATGGTCAAAGGATGTGAGCAGGAAGTTTTCAGACAAAGTAATTAAAGCTATAGTCATATAAAAATGCTCTAAATCACCATTGATAAGAGAAATGAAAATTAGAACAACTCTGAACTGCTACCTCACACCTGTAATATTGGTTAATGTGACAGAAAAGGAAAATGACAGATGTTGGAGGGGATGTGGCAAAATTAAAACACTCATGTTTTAACTAATATTGGTGAAGTTGTATACTGATTCAGCCATTCTGGAGAGCAATTTGGAACTATGTCCAAAGGGCTATAAAACCATCCATACCCTTTGACCAAGCAATACCAATGCTAGGTCTGTATCCCAAAGAGATAAAAAACCAAAAAGGAAAAGGACCTATGTGTACAAAAGTATTTACAGCAGCTCTTTTAGTGGTGGCAAAGAATTGGAAGTTGAGGGGATGTCCATCAATTAGGAAGTGGCCGAATACCTTGTATGTGATTGTGATGGAATGCTATTATGCTTTAAGAAATGTTGAGCAGGATGTTCTCAGAAAAACATGGAAAGATTTATATAAACTGATGCAAAGTGAAATGAGCAGAACCAGGAAAACATGGTCCACAGTAACAGCAATAATGTATGATCATCTACTATGAATAACCTAGCTATTCTCAGTAATGCAATCAATGATCCAAGACAATTCTGTGGGGCTTATAATGAAAGGTGTTTTCCATCTCCAGAGAAAGAACTAGTAGAACCTGAATGCAGATCAAAGATAACTTTTTCTTTACTTTCTTTATTTTTCTGGTTTTTCTTTTGTCTGTGTTTTCTTTCACAGAATGACTTAGTGGAAATATGTTTTGTATGACTACATATGTATAACCTATATCAAATTGCTTACCTTCTCAATGGGGGGAGGGGAGGGAAGGAGAGAATTTGGAACTCAAAATTCGAAAAAAAAATGTTAAAATTGTTTTTACATGTAATTGGGAAAAATAAAATATTAAATAAAATTAAAAAAAAGAAATATTGGCCAAGAAATTACTAATCAATTTATTTTTGAAGAATGAAAGAATTTATTTGTCCATATACAAAAGATATGAGGATACAGATTATAAACATCCTTTTTTATGAAAACATTTTGTTGTTTTATACGAGCATTAAAATTGCTTGAGATCAAATATATATTTAAAGCCCATTATTCACTTAAGTATCTAATATTCTGATTTATTGACTTAAATTTGCCAAACATATTATTGACATCTGGAGATTTCTGTTTAGTTGGAAGGGACTTCAAAGGGCATGTAGTCTAATCTATATAAACTCCTTCTCCACCATTCCCGCTGTGGTTGTCCAGCTGCTGCTTCAGGGGGAGGCCCCAACCTATTCTACTTTGGATCAAATGAGGTCACACACACATGCACACATACATGTACATGCGTACATATGCACACCTATACACACCCTCAGCATTTGTTGTTGAGTTGTTCAATTGTGTCCAACTCTTTGTGACCCTTTTAGGGTTTTCTTGGAAAAGAAACTGGAAGTAGCTTGCCATTTCCTTCTCCAGCTCATTTTACAGATGAGGAAACTGAGGCAGTGTTAAGTGACTTGCCCAGGGTCACACAGCTAGTAAGTGTCTGAGGCCTTCCACACCATACATATGAATAAACACACACATACCTTTTTACACATGTACACACACCACACCTACACACACACACACGCACACACACATACACACATGTACACATACATATACACACGTACACATACATATATACATATGTACACATGTACACACATATGTTGCCAGTCAACACGCATTTATTAAATAACTAATAAATTGTTGTGCCAGGCACTGTCCTCAAGGAACTTGCATTCCAATACAACATGCCAGTAACTGGGTACATAGAAGATGGAATGTCTGTGGAAAGACATGACTAGTGAGCTCATCTGATCCCTGGCAACCTCTTGTGATTGTAAGGCAGGACCCATTTCTGTGTGTCCTAGAACAAGGTATTAAAGTAAATTTTCCATTATTATTTCAAGAAACCCAGAAGTGTGTGAGGCTGGTCCAACAATGGGCAGGTTGTAGGCGTGGCCCTGGCAGAGTGTTTGCTCAGGGCAAGGCCCATGGAGGCTGCTAACGTTGGTCTGCAGCCTCATGGCCCATTGGGCTGCAAGCATAGGGGATGTTGGTTCTTCCTGCTCCATGCAGGTCATTTCTTTTTTTATTTATATATTTTATTTTTTAATTTAGGGAATAAAACAAGCATTTCATAACATTGTATAATAATTTTAAAATATAGCACATGAAGCTACAAAATCTATAATGTACAACTTGCTTTTCCTCTTAGATAATAAAGTTAGCATGTAATTTTCCCCCTTTTTTCTTCCCTCCTGCCGTCCTAGAGATGGCTGTCATTATACAGAAATAGGTATATGCATGCATGCCCATATGTGTGTAGGTATATGTTTATGTGTATGTGTGTATGCATATGCAACACATAACAGACACATATACGTGCGCACATATGCATGCATGCACACACATATGTATACACATTAACACATAAACTTGTATATGCACACATGCACACATATATAATTGTATACAAATGTGCCAGGCAATATACCTGGTGTAAACAGAGGTAAAAACAGCATGATCCCAATAGTATAAGTCTGCAGAAATAAATACAAAATTCATAGGTATAAGGACCTCCTCTTTGAGGAACATCCCTGGACCAATGGATGCTACTCATTTCTTACAAGGGAGCGGAAATGCACGAGTGGGAAGCAGTGAAGTTGCAAACAAACAGACAGACAGACAGACAAACACGGAAGTAGGCATCAGTAGAACAGCACACATGAGAAAACAAGAGATTCAGAAGAGGACAGAAATGACAACTTTGTTGCCACTTTGTTGTCAAATTTAATATGTGCCTAAAAGCCAAACCACATCCAAAGTTTGCGGTTACCCTAAAAGAATCCTCCTCTTCTTTGCAGATTGGAATGTTTGTGTTTGTTGACAGCTGTTCAATTCATAATCAAAATGTATATATATATATATATATATATACACATATATTTTAAAAAGATCTCTCTGTGGTCTAGTTGATAGCTTTGGATTAGAAATCACGTGCTCTTTTATTGATTCATTATGTATTTCATTTAACCAAAGTTTTTTCATTTGTAACCTATTAGTTTGATGTACTCAATGAGATTAGTTATTTCCAAAGTGGAAAGTAAACATGGGGAAGCCATATCTGATGTTGGTTTTTAGGGGACCAGATCAAGGTTCCTGTGGAAATACTTACCTCAGACCTTTCTCTGCAGGTCCTCTAGCTGAGAAAGAAGATTTTCTGTCGATTTTTGCCACCGTCTCCTCCACCCTGGACAGCGTGTCTGTATGTAAATTCATTCCCTGGGGGGTCTAAGACCAAGCGGAAATTTCAGAGGAGTTCATTTTAGGCCTGGTTAGCTCTAAAACAGCATGCTTCCTCCCTGCTACAAGTGAGAGGATGGGAGGAGGCAGCAGCTGGGAGTGGTTCCTACCTGTCTTTGGGCTCATTCTTTTCCTGCTTTCGTTTGGCACTTCTCTGTGCGCATGAGAGCCCCAAGAGGGCTAGGTGGACCTGCTGTCAGCAAACAGAGCCTGGGGCCTAGGGCCCACGGATCTGGTGGCCAAGGAGGCAGGGTTAAGTTGGAGTGCGTAAGATGGGCAGAGTTCCCTGGTGAGAGAGCAAGCCCCGCTACATTTAGAGAGGCTGAGGAATGTCGCGGCCAAAGCCGCTCAGAAAGAGTCTCCTGAGGCAGAGAAGGGTTGCCATCAGTACTGGCGGAGGCATAATCTTAGCAGTGAAATCACAGATCCATAAAAGTAGAAGGCTCTGGTAATTTTCTTTAAATGTCCGTGGTTGAATGAGCAGAATCAAGACAGTTCCAGTTGTGACTTTTGGGGCAAACTCTTAGAACCCTAAGTCTTGTTTGTATTGTTTGGGTTGGTATCTGTCTTATAAAGAAGCTATGTATTTCCCCCCCTTTTTCTGAGAGGCCGGGAGTCTCCCAGCAGCATTTAGCTTTCTGAAAGCATCGTGGAGGGACAGCCATCTATCCTTTATCTGCAGTCTCATACTTTCCTCCGTGCCCCCTTCTTTCCTCTATGCCTGGGATGATTCTAGGGTATGGTGTTGGTACAGAGGATTTAGGTTGGTTTAGGGGTGGGGGTGGCTACAGAGGCCTTGCCAGTGGGACAGTTCTTGTCCAAGCAGCCTGGTTCCTCTGCCCATTTGCTCCATGCACAAGGTTAGTTAGCCCCTGTGAGCCATGTTCCACAGCCTGTGTTTTGGGTCTAGTGAGGTCTGTGAAGGTGACACCCAAGCAGGACCCAGCTCCCACAGTTTGCTATATTTTGCTCTCTTAACCATCATTCAGCCTGGGAAATCACTTCAATGTCCGGGCATCAGAAACCTAATATAAGAAGTGGTTTTCATGGGGTTTTCCAAGACCCACCTTAATGCAAACATTGAGACCAAAGTTGTAATAAAAATCATGTTACTGTGCCACAGCCCAATGAACGGAGTGAGCTTTGAAAGCCATGCTGCCACGTAGGACCCACGAGGAAGGGCATGGTCATCTCCCTAACGCACACAGGAGAGGCACTGTTTCCAGCCCATCCAGCTTAGTGCACGGTTTTTCACCTGGCCCGACACAGAGGCAGGGAGGTCTCTGGCTTTTCATTGGCCAGCTGGTGCTCACACCTCTTCCCGGTCTCACGAGGGATGCCTTTTGGCGTTGGGCCATGCATCTTTTTCTAGGTATTTTTTTTCCTAGGTGACCTCAGCACAAGTTACTTAGGATGCATGATTGCCTTTTGGTATCATAATAACTTTTGGTATTTTTAGGAAAGGGCCTTGACAAAGTAACATGACCTTGTGGCGACCTGCCTCACTCCTTCCTCTCTACTCGGTGTCTTTTTCCAGCTCCATGCCTCTTCTCTTGATGTGACTTTTGTCACGACCCATCATTCATTCCTAAAAGAGCAGCCAGTAGTATTTAAGGGAATCCTGTTGGGAAACAGAAAGAAAACTCTGAGCCTGGCTGAAATGACATTCTTCCTTCTCCATTTTGGGGGACAGTGTTGTGTTGCTTTTGATGCCTGGGCCCTCAAGTACTTAGATGCTCAGACATGCTCAGGTGTTAAGAAAATGGAAAGGGAGGGGATCCTTTTATTTTTAGCTCCACCTTTGGAAATGGGAGAAACAGAATTTTACCATCAGAGTGAAAAGCCTGGTTTGATATCTGGCTTTAGATTCACAATTAAAGTGATAGGATCTTAGCTCTTAGGCCAGAAGATTCCTTAGAAATCATCTGGTTTGACCCCCTCATTTACAGATGAGGAAATTGAGACTCAGAGGAAGTGACATGCTGACGGTCACACGGATACCAAGAGGCAGGTCTGGAACTTTGCCTCCACATTCACTCCAAATTCATCTCTCCACTTCACCCAGAATTAAGGAAGATCAGATTGCGCTGAGATGAGCAATGTAGTTTATGATTTTAATCCATTTAAGGATCTGTGATTTGGGGGGAGGTGGGGCCTTTCTCTCTCACTTAGCTCTGTGCTCTTGGTTGCCTGAGGCTTAGAGAGATCAGGAGCCTTAAATCATGGCCACACTGCTTGTGTCTTAGGCCTCAGCCCAGGCCTTGCTGTCCCAGTCCTGCCCGTGCTCCTCCTTCTTCTACTACATGATTTATTGAGAATTTCTGAACTTCTTACATAATTCTAGAAGTAAGCATTTCCTTTGGATTTTCCTTATAAAGAAACACAATCAACAATTATTTCCCATTGGTTGGATAGGAATTTTATTTTATCTATCTACCTTCACCTTCCAAGACATAAATTTGTGTTGCAATTATTAGGGTAGATTTCATTTGTCAAATTTTATTTTATTTTTTTAATATAGAGTGAACACAGAGTTGCTTCTGGACACAAAACCTTTTTTAAATATAGAAACCTACTCCAAGGAAAGGAAGCTGTCATAGTTATGGAGCTCTCTTTTTTTTGGAATAGTTACCATCAGTGAAAAGAAGCTAACTTATCAATTGCCTTTTAGCCTTAAAACCTTTCTTAATCTCTTTTGGTATTAAGGAGCAGGCCCCGGGAATGTGGTTCCCCTTTAGGAGGGAAGATGCCTTTTCCAAATTGAATGTGCAAGGAAGGCTTTTCAGAATGGAGAACAGGATGAGATTTATAGGCAATATAAACATCAAGTTTGTAGAAACAGATAGTTTCAACATTCAGAGAGATTGGAAATTAACGTCCTTGGGGATGTAGAGTGCGACCTTTTCTCTCCCCTTTTTTTTGTGGGATCTTTTAAATCTGAGTTCCTCCCTGAAAGAGGAGGTATAAAAATCTCCATTGTGTGTTTTGGTCTGTCGTCAGTGATAAATCCTTTCCAGTCAATTCCCTGTTTAGTTGTTTGATGGTGCAGAGTTCATATTGCTTTTATTGTGTTCACTCATTCATGGGTAATGTTAGGATCGTTCTCCCCCCTTCCCCCCTGCTGTTTCGAGTTTCCTGATTCTCTCTTTCTGTCTCCACAGCAAGCCGCCAGCCATGAAGTGGGAGCTGAAGCCGTGCCCTCAGTCACAGTGAAGGTATCGAGTGAACCCTAGTGGGCCACACGCCAGACAGTAGCACACATTTCATCCTGGCATTTTCCCTGCAAGTTGTTCATGAGATGGGCAAGAAAGTCTCCAGGGGGGTTCATGTTTCAGGGACTCGTTCCTGCAGGCTGGGGGAGTAGATGGCCTTTATCTGTAGGTGACACATTTCCTGACAAGGTATATTGTGGCATAAATCTCATTTTTTGCCACCCCTTTTAGGTGGTTATGACTCTTGTTGAATTGAATCGAGTGCCAAGTGTTGACCTGGTGGCAAGCATGGGCCATCTTCACTTGGTGGGGGCCAGGTCCATAAGGTTCTGATGAAGTCTCTTCATAGCCTGTGGGGCGTCTTAGGTGTCGTTAGGGATGTGAGGAGATTGCTGCCTATTGGGGCTCCCTCCCAGAGCATCGGACGTTGTAATGAGGCACAGAATCACCCATTGGGTCAGTCCTAGAACCTTTCTGATGACCCGGACATTCCGTGGTTGTTTGAAATGAATTCCTAACCTACTTCAACAACATTTGAGATGGATTATCTTGCCTCGTCCTTCCATGAAGTTGGCTGTAAAGGGGACCACAAGAGGAAGATGGAGGTGGGCATACTGTGGGAGTCAGGCCAGCCATGTGCTGTTATGCATTCCCCCCTAAAAAGACTGTCCTCAATGCCCTCCCTCTGGCGGACTGCCTGTGTTTCCATGAGTTCAGTTAAGACGCTGTTTGCATACGCCTCCCAGCTCCGCACATCACCCTCTTGTCTCCTGACCTCTGCTCCCCGCCCCTGGCTGCCAAGACATTCCCAGTTTGGATTTCGCACACATATCTCAAACTCATACTTTCCAACATGCATCTTTCTATCACCTTCATCGAAAGGCATCTTTGTATGAGGAAAAGGTCAGCGGATGTAGATCCTGGGGATTTGAACTCAGATCTTACCTCTGCTACCCCCTACCTGTGTGACCGTGAACAAATCACTTCCCTCTTTCCACCTAAATGTTTCCTCATCTAGACAATGAGGCTGTTGGACGCAGTGGCCCCTGAAGCGCTTGCCAGCCCTGCGTCTGCGATGCTTCAGTTCGGCTTCTTCTTTCTGTTGAGGGGACAGCCATGTCGCCTCTAGTCCCGTGGTTTCCGTTCCAGGGAGCCTCCCTTGATTTTCCTCTCCCCATCGCTTGGTTGCCAGAGCTCCTTGCTGTCCCCTTACGGCTCCCCTCTGTTGCCCTTCTCCTCCATTTCGTGGCCGCGGCCCTTGTGGAGGCCCTCAGCTTCGTGGCTCTCTGTCCTCCGTGCTGGGCCGGTGGCGCTCCGCTGCTCACAAACTTGTCTCAAGTCTGCCCTTCAGAGCCCTTCCCCGTCTCACCACAGACCAGCCTCCTCTAGGTTCTGCACCCTCCATACTCTTTCCTCTGGCTCTCTGTCCTGACAGTCGCTTCGCCCTCCTCCGCAAAGCTTTTTTTCGTTCCCTCCCTGTGCCCCTCCCCCTGCCCCCCATTGCTAGTGCCTGGCCTCCTGAATTACCTTGTATTTAACTCCCTTGGATTCTGCATGTGTTCTGGAAATAGTTATCTATGCCAGAGGCAGCGTTGGGTTGTGGGTTCAAGTCCTGCCCCTGATACAGGTTGGCTGTGTGACCCTGGGCGCACTCTAGCACTACAAAGCACTACAAAGTTGTAGAGAAGGTGCCAGTCAGGAGGTGTGGAGGGGGTTTCCTCACCTGGGAACTCCCTGTACCAGTGAAATCCCAAGTCTGTACTTAGGTATGCATTCAGTGTATCCCCAGTACTTAGTCTTGTGTCTGGTGCTGAGGGGAGCTTAATAAATGCAGCTGATTGATCAGTTGCTTCCTGACCCGGAGGCCGGCTCTCTGTCCGCAGCACCCATCTGCCGCGCCTTTCAGCATGCTGGAAATCACACTCACGTGGTTTTCAGGCATCTATTTAATGGATAGCTTGGTGAGCATCGTTCTATTTAGCAGGAAACAGTCAGCATTTCCTAAATGCTGGAAACCAGAAAACAGGGAACCTTGGCAGTCCGGGCAAAGCTTGTTTGGTGCCGTCTCTGTCTCCCTCTCTGCGTGTTTGTCTGTTTGTCTGTCTTCCTCTCCCTTTGTCTTTCCTTCTCCCCCCTCTCTCTCCCTACCTCCTTTCCTCCTTCCCTCCCTCTATGCATACATATGTACATACATACACGTGTACACACATATGCACACGTAAGACTACTTGGATTATTGGTTGCTCTCCTTGGAGAGAGACGTCAGAGCATTGCCAGTTGGGTTAGTTTGCCCTGGATCCAGCTGGTGGCTACAGTTGGGCTCTTTGGCCCTATGCTGAAGGCAGCCCACATGTGTAACTACTCCCCAAGCTTCTTTTTTGGGATTCTGCCACAGGAAGCAAGGGTGGTCTCCCCAGTTTTCTCTTCCCCAACTCCCAAATCCAATCAAAAGCTCCATCCCCTTAATGCTTCTTAGTCTAGAAAAGCGTTAGTGGCAAGAAGTCAAGTCTTCACACAGTGAAAATACAGAGTTTCAGGAATGCTCTGCAGCTGGGCTTTGGAGGGCAGGCCTTGTTCGTCTTGCACACTGACTGCGAAGCGTTTTGTGTCTCAATCAATGAACATCACTCATGTGGTAGAATCCGAGGACCTGGGCCTAAGCTCCTTGGGCGTTCTTTCCTGGATGAGATCGGCCAAGTCATTCTCCATCGGTGTCCTTCTTTGTAAAATGAAGGGGTGGGGGTGGGCCGGCACCCTCTGAGTTCCGTTTCACTCCTGAGTCTGAGTAACTGTAAGTCAATACCCTTTGCCTCCTGTTCCCTCCTTAGATTTTGAAATGGTTGGAATCATCTCCTTTATGAGAAGATTCTTCCATAGTTTAGAATTGCTAAGTTGTACACTTTGGGTCTTCTTGTCAGCATTGTGCAGTGGAAAGACTTGCTCACTTGATTTGGAGTCAGAAGACATGAGTGTGAATCCTGACCCTGACATTTATGGCCTGCATGACCGTGGGCATGTCACTTCCCCCTTTGGGTCTCAGTTTCCTCATCTGTAAAAAGATGACTTTGGGCTTCTTGACCTTTAAAGTTCCTTCTAAATCGATAGTTCTGTGCCCACATGAGGCTTGTGCAAAACCTGTAGGATAATGGTGTGGGAGCCTGAGGGACTTCTTTGCTTGGCCTGATGGCTTCTCTATAGAATCCAGCCATAATTTCTCCTTATGGTCACGTATAATGACGGCAGCCAAGATGTGTAGCCATGTAAGTTTCCAGGATAGTAAATAAATCCTCTTAATTGAGGCCATTTTTTCCATCCGTTCCAAGTGAGTGAAGATGAGGCTACCTTCAGTTTGGACTCATGGTGCGTGACCATCTATCCAGGCAACCAGGAAGGACTTTTGGCGTAATGTTTATATAGCGAGAATGAAAATGCAGGATCATGTTGCCTAAGGATTATATTTCAATTTGTAAGGGAAGCTCGAAATACCATGGAAAATCCTTAAATTATCCTCCCCCACCCGCCCCTATAACTTTTCCTTCTTCTTCCCAGTTAAAGTAGAAGATTTACTTTTAAGCCAACTCCAAGGGAGTTTCTGACTCCCTTCTCTGATACTGTGGTTATGTCTTCAAATGCCCCTATTTAGGCCTAATGCATTGTTGGCACTCAGTAAATCAGAGTATTGTAGATATCCTATCAAGTGACCCATGTCAACCAAATGCCCAAGTGCAAACCCTTCTTGGATGTAATTCGGTATAGATTTGGGTGGGGAGCAGCAGTAGTAAGTTCCGTGGCTAAAGGTCCTGCTGTGTGTTTCTTGTGTTCAGCTGTTTGGTTTTATTTTTTAAAGCAGAGAAAGTATGGATGGTTTAATTTAGTTCCGGTGGTTGGCTCCGCACACAGTTGGTTCATTTTGGTGTTGCAGTTGTTTGAAAGGAGGCAGTGACCTGCCCGTATGGCTGGCAGGGCTCCCTCTGTCCATAGCCCATTGGGTTTGGCATCTGGGGTGAAGTGTTGTCTGGAATAATTCGCCGGTCCTAGCACACCAGTGCCCATGGAACTTGGGGCACTCTAAGCCACTCTCACTGGTCTTCCTGCCAATTTCCACAAGTGTTTTGTGTTGGTTTTGCCCTAATGGTTAGTGCAGATATAATATGAACACTTACCAGAGCTCCTGAGGTTTATGGAAGGAAACATAGCACTTAAAATAAATACGGGATTTTTCCACAATCTAATGGTGTGCGTAAGTGGGCTCAGACTCAAATAGGAATGGATGCCACTAATCCATATGCAAGGATTCCCATGGTCTGCCTATTGACTTAGTTTTAAAATATAATATTATCTATATTTTCTTGTATTTTTAATTATTTTGTTAAATATTTTCCAATTACATTTTAATCTGATTTGGGTCTCACTTGGGAGTGTTGCAGACCACATGTGGTCTGTGTGTTTGACACCTGTGTTGTACATCCAAATTATCCATTTATTCATCATCCCATAGACTTCTGTCTACTTAAGTACTTATGTACTTCCCCTGTTCACCCCCTCTAAAGAAGGCATGGCGGTTTGAGTTCCATGATTTTTGTTGTTGTTCTCTCATTTCAATTGTGTCTAACTCTCTGTGACCCCATTTGGGGTTTTCTTGGTGTAGGCACTAGAGTGCTTTGCTATTTTCTTCTCCAGCTCATTTGATAGATGAGGAAACGGAGGCAAATAGAGTTCAATGTCTTGTCAAGATCACACAGCTAGTAAGTGTCTGCGGCCAGATTTGAACTCAGGAAGATGAGTATATCTACTATATCTACCATATATCTATAGCTATATCTACCGCAGCACTGCCTGGCTGCCCCGATTTCCGTGAAAGAATCAGGTGAAGAGAAGTAGGATTAGGAGGGGAGCAATTCTATCTTTTGTGGAGGAGCCAGGGTTTGGCTCCTTGGCTTTTGATTTTGAGCGCGGTTTGGAATGATTAGTAGAAGAGGCAAGCAGGGAAAATGTACCCTCTTGGAAATGGGAATTAATTCAGTATGGGTACACTGAAACCCATTACAAAAGAAGGATCACACAGGGGTGGTGCAATGGATGCCATCAGACAAAGGAACGGCCAGGAGAAATAGGAGCAGCTAGACCCTGAGTGACCAGCCTGTGTGCTCTGCTGGTATCTTTGCAAGATTAGGAGATGAGAGGAAGGCCTACAGTACATTTATGGACCACTGATGGAGACACAGGGGACGCCCCATGGGCAGGTATGATTGGGTTTCAGTGTCCAGCCGTGAAGGGACTACATACATCAATGAGATCTCAGATCCATCCAGATTCGAAGTCATATGTACAAGGCACTATTTGAAGGGCTGTGGGGTTCGTAGAGATGAAGAAGCCACAATCCTGGCCTCAGGAAGCTTCTAATTGGCCAGGAAAATGAGACAAGACAGAAGTAAGTGTAATTCTAGGCAGAAGTTTTGGTGTACTAGTGAGCTGGGTTTTGGCAGTGGGGCTGAAACAGAAGGGAGAAGTGAGGCGTTATAAAGGTAGAATGGAGAGGCGGATGATGAAGTAGAAAGGAGATGATGTAAACAGTGATGATAACACTAGTAGAGATTGGGAAGTCGGGGGAGTATTTGTTCTTGAAAACGATGAGGAGTTCAAGGTTCCTGAGTGGTGGGTGATACTTAGAAATGCCCCCCAGTCAGTAGGATCAGCAGGTGGCAGTGATTTGTGACACTTGTGTGTCACAGATGCTTGGAAGGAACTTCATAACCTCAGCAGTGTCCCTGATGGCTGTTCCCCGCTGCTGTAGGTGTTTCTAGCCATTGGCAGCGGGCCATGCCTTTTTCCCATGTTTCTCTCTTACCTCCTCGTGATTGGTCGGTGCTAGTTTCTCCTCCCAGTGGTGCTTAGAGATGGGGTAGCAGTGGACATGCCAGACGTTGCCTGCTCTGGCCTGGAGTCCAGGCCCTGAGGGAAGATCTGAAAAGCTCATCGCTAGGTTTGCTACCAAGTGGTGATTCCTTCTGCAGGTCCACAGACTTGCAAAGACCATCTACTAAGATCTGAAAGGTTGTGGTTTGTGTCTGTGCAGGGAGAACCACCGGGGCCAACCTTGGGTCTTTGAGGTTTTCATCTGAACTAGCCCAGAAGCAATGTCATTTTTGGTAAATACTTTATCTTCAACTTGCTTTTAGGTCATGATACGGAGCCGGCTAGCATTGCAGAAAACCAAGCTGTCCATTTATGTCGAGTCCCCGTTAGCAGCCACCCGTGATCACTTCATCTTTGATTTCTTAGGTGAGTTCCCACGTCTGTGTCTCGTCTGCCCGGGAAGCTTGTGAGCTCTTGACGTCACGCCGGATTTTGTAGTTTGCTGCCTGCAGAGCCCTGAATGCAGTGCTCAGAGCTCAGAGGATGATGGGCTGTGGGGCCAGCATTGAGCTGAGCAGGAACCCTCGGCATCGTGTCTGACCAGCGGTCATCTGGGCTCCCTCGGACACCGTCAGTGAGCAGGAACGTTTCCCTAGGCATTCGGTTCCTTGGTCAGATTGTTAGGAAGCGTTTGCTCCCGTTCTCCTTATCTGTCCCTTGTTCTTTCTGTCCCAAAGCCAAGCTAAACAAATGTGATCCTTCTTCCATACGATGACCCTCCACACATGTGAGGATGGCTGTTACGGTCCTGTCCATTCTATCCCTAGGCGCATCTAGGTGGCAGAGTGGGTGGAATGCTGGGCTTGGAGTCAGGAAGACCCAAATTCAAATCTGGCCCAGGCAAGCCCCTTAGCCTCTGGCTGGCTCAGTTTCCTCACCTGTAAATCGGAGATAATGGTAGCTCCCACCTTCCAGGGTTGTCGTGAAGATCAAATGAGACGATGTAAAAGCATGTAGCACGGTACCTGGCACATAATAGGCATCATGTAAATACTTCTTCCATTCCTTCCCCCTTCCCTCAAGTCTTTTATCTTCAAGCTAAACATTCCCAATGCTTTTATCTGAGTCCCATGAGGCCCAGTTTCATATCCTACCCCCTTCCCAGGTCATCGTCCTTGGGGGCCCTCGCTTCTGTTTGCCAGCGTCCTGCAGAACTGAAAGAAAAGCTCCGTCGTGGAGAACACAGGGCTGGTTCCTCCTTTATTCTGAACGTTAAACCTTTATTAATGCAGCCCAATTAGTTTAACATATGCGTCCATCCGTCTTCGCTGCCTGGACGACCTCACCGATCTGTATGGCGCTCACAGCTCCGCCAGCCCTCGTGCGCTTTTCACCCGGCCTCACGTCTCATCACGTCTCTCCCCACACTCTACTCGTACAGCTGATTTTAAAAATCCAGAATGTAGGGTTTTATGTCTCTCTTATTAAGTTCTATCTCGTTAGACTTGGTCCATCATTGCAATCAAACTTTGTCATTTGAAATGTAGGCTGTCTGTCCCAGTTCCATTTAGTCGCAGGCTGGTCAAGCCTTCATCGAGGACGTTGACTATGGCACTGACCCGATGCTCTTTGGCCGATGGCAGAGCCTTGTGATGTTCTGATAGAGGCTTCCCTCCGTGAGGATAAGTACTCTGGAGCTCCTTCTAACTTGTGTGTGGCAGAGCCTGGTCCGGGGCCTGCTGGGCAGCCATTAGTTGTGTGCCCCGAAGTCAGTATCCTGCTCTCAAATGGGAGCAGTTGTGCATCAGGCACATTGTAGGGTGGTTGTCTTGGGGATCAGCCTCGGCGCCTTGTGGGTCTTTGGTCTGAAGATGTGCTCACTCGTCCTCCCTGATACCTTGGTGTTAAGTGGGATTCGGGAGTACCTGTTACCCATGGTGGTCTGTGGAGGTCAGTGCCAGAATCACCAAATCCCTTCTGGGGCCCTCTGGTAGAGCTCCTACCTGAAGAGACTCTCCCCGACTAAGCTTCTCTTGACCCCCTCCAGCGGGCGCCCACGGCCGCCCCAGGAGCTTCCCTTGCTGTGCTGGGAGGGTTCCAGTTGTGCCTTAAGTCACGCCTCCACAACTTCTCTCCTGTGCTTCTCATTCAGAGGTCAGAATGAGAAGTTGAGTCAGCTTTGCCCGTGACAGTCTTTGAAGTATTTGTTAGTAGCTCCCACGCGCTTTCTGTTTTCTCTTCTCCAGACTAGTTGTCCCCAGTTCCTTCACCCCATCTTTGTGGGCATAAACTGGAGGCCCTTCACCATGTCTGCCGCCGTTCTGTGTGCCTCCTCGATGCTAATAATCAATCCACAAGCATTCATTAAGCGCCAGCTGTGTGTCGGGCACTGGGGACACACGTGCAAACAAGGAAGCCATCCCTACCCTTCCAGCGTGTCTGCTGTTGTCACTTCCACTCTTGGAATGGGAACTGGAGATGGTGCTTCTGGTGGGGCCTGACCAGAACAGAATTCAGGGGGCTAGAGGCTGCCTCCGCTCACTGCCTCCACTCACTGCCTCCACTTGCTTTCCTTTTACTCCCAAGTCCTGGAGTTCTGGCTTCTGCCTCAACACTCACCTGAACTGTCCTTGCCAGAGGGCCTCGTGCATTCTTCATGGCCAACTTGGATGACTGTTTTTCCCTCAGTCTTCATCCTTCTTGACCCATGACAGCATCTGACACTGTTGACCACTCTCTCCTCCCAGAGGGTCTCTTGGTTCGAAGGCCTCTCCCGTGCTAAATCTTCAGCCGTATTCTGCCCCCTGGCTGTGAGGGGGCTTCAGATGCCCTCCTATCTTCTGTTCCCACATCCTTTCTGGCGGTCTTGGCAGCTCCCAGAAGCTTAATTCTCATCTCCTTTAGTCAACTCCCAGATCTCTTCATTTCGCCCTGCCCTTGTCTTTGGAGCTGCAGCTCAGCATCACCAATTGCCTGTTGGATTTTTTGGACTGGATGTCTGATAGGCGCCTCACAGTCATCAGGTCCACATCAGATCTCATGTTCCCCCCAAAACTCACCATTCTTCCAAGCTTCCTTCTTTGGGATGGGTACCATTGTCCTTCCAGTCACCCAGGCGTGCAACCTGTGTGTCATCTTGGAGCCCTCGTTTCCTCTCATGCCACACATCCAGTCAATTGCCATTCATTAGTATTTCTGTCTCTACAGCAAACCTCACTCAGGTCCATCTCCATCTCTCCACTTGCATGTCTACTGCCTAAGGCCCTCGTTGCTTCTGAAGTATAGCAGTGGCACCTCACTGGTCTCCTTGCCTCAAGCTGTACCCTCCTGCCTCCTGTCAGATGGACAGTCCTCCATTATCATCACTATCATTACAATTGACGTCTCCTGCTTTGTGAGACCTTTATTTCCCAAAACATCCTTCTCTTTCCCTCATAAAAAAAATTAAAAAAAAAGGAAAAGCCGGCTCAACACAAATAACCCAGGCATCAGCCAGGCCCCGCGGAGTGTGCACTGTCCCACGCCCATCTGGAGTTGTCTCTGTATGCAAGGAGAGATGGAGGCACATGCTCGTCCCTTTGCAGAAGAAACACGGCTTGTTGCTGGTTGGCTCCAAGTCCTCGTTACGGTTTTGATTGTTTCTCTTCTCTCCTTTCATTTCGTTGTAATCATGCTGCCTGTTGTTTTCTTGGTTCTGCTTCTTTGCTCTTGTGTCATTTCACTTAAGTCTTCTCCTGCTTCTCTGTGTTTTTTTTTTTAATATATATATATATTCATTGTTTCTTTTTTTTCCTTCTCTTTGTTGGTTTATTTATATTGGATTTCATAAACAGAGGATTCTGGGATCACAACATCTTAAGGGCAAAATATCCATACTCTTCTTCATTGGGGCTATTTTGGATAATGTTATTTTGGGTTTTTTCCTTCTTTCAAAATAAAACTTTTAGCATTTTTCCAAAATAAAATGGCATTGCTACAACTTTACAGTTATCTTCCCCACCCCCAGTAGAACATTCCATCATAATAATTAAGTATAGTTAGCACAGCCAACCAATATTTTTGCTAATTAGATGATAATCATTATCATGTGTATAGTATTTTAAGGTTTACAAAGTATTTTACATATATTATCTTGTTCTTACAATAACCCTGCTACTATTATTCCCATTTTTTCTTTCTTTTCTTTTCTTTTCTTTTAAATTTTTAACATGTATTTTTAAAACTTTGGGTTCCAAATTTTCTCCCTTCCTCCTTCCCCACCCACCCTCATTGAAAAGGCAAGCCTCTTGATACAGGTTATAGATGTGTAGTCATCAAAACACCTCCACAGTAGTCATGTTGTGAAAAACTAAGTATATTTCCCTTCATCCTATCCTACCCCCCTTTATTCTATTCTCTCTTTTGACCCTGTCCCTCCTCAGAAGTGTTTGCTTTTGATTATCCCCTCCCCTAATCTGCCCTCTCCTCTATCAACCCCCTGCTCTCTTGTCCCCTTCCCCCCTTATTTTCCTGTAGGGTAAGATAGATTTCCATACCCCATTGTGTATGTTATTCCCTCCTTAAGCCAAATCCTATGAGAATAAGATTCACTCATTCCCTTTCACCTTCCCCATTTGCCCTCCACTGTAAAAGCCTTTTCTTGTCTGTTTCATGTGAGATATTTTACCCCATTCTACTTCTCCCTTTCTCCTCCCAGTATAATCCTCTCACCCCTTAATTTTATTTTCCAGATATCACCCCTTCATCTTCAACTCACCCTGTGCCCTCTATCTATCTATCTGTCTATCTATCTATCTGTCTATCTATCTGTACATACATATGATTTTTTCCCTCCCACTACCCTAATTCTGACAAAGGACTCATGAGTTACAAACATTATCTTTCCCTGCAGGAATGTAAACAGTTCAACCTTAATAAGTGTCTTATGATTTCTCTTTTCTGTTTACTTCTTCCATGTTTCACTTGAGTCTTGTATTTGAAGGTCAAATTTTCTATTCAGTTCTGGTCTTTTCCTCAGGAATGCTTGAAAGTCCCCTATTTCATTGAATGACCATTTTTTACCCTGAAGGATTACACTCAGTTTTGCTGGGTAGGTGATTCTTGGTTGTAGTCCTATCTCCTTTGCCCTCTGGAATATCACACTTCATGCCCTGTGGTCCCTTGATGTAGAAGCTGCTAAATCTTGTGTTATCCTGATTGTGTTTCCACAATACTTGAATTGTTTCTTTCTGGCTGCCTGCAATATTTTCTCTTTGACCTAGGAATTCTGGAATTTGGCTACAGTATTCCTAGGAGTTTTCCTTTGGGGATCTCTTTCAGGAGGAGATTGGTGGATCTTTCCCTTTCTATTTTGCCCTCTGGTTCTAAAATATCAGGGCAGTTTTCCTTGAAAGATGATGTCTAGACTCTTTTTTTGATCATGGCTTTCAGATAGTCCAATAATTTTTAAGTTCTTTCTCCTGGATCAATTTTTCAGTTCAGTTGTTTTTCCAGTGTGCTATTTCACATTCTCTTCTATTTTTTCATTCTTTTGGATTAGTGTTACAGTGCCTTCATTTCTCAAATTGTCTCTAGCTTCCAATTGCACCATTCTAATTTTTAAGGAAGTATTTTCTTCAGTAATCTTTTGGACTTCCTTTTCCATTTGGCCAATTTTGCTTTTTAGGGCATTCTTCTCCCCATTGGCTTTTTGGACCTCTTTTGCCATTTGGGTTAGGCTATTTTTTAAGGTGTTATTTTCTTCAGTATTTTTTGGGGTCTCCTTTAGCATCACTCTCAGTTTTTCCTCTACTTCTCTTACTTGCTTCTCAACATCCTTTTTGAGCTCTTCCATTACCTAGGACCAATTAATATTTTTCTTGGAGGCTTTGGATGTAGGAGCTTTGGCTTCATTGTCTTCTTCTGGTTGTGTGTTTTGATCTTCTTTGTCACCAAAGTAAGATAGTATAGTATGACTCTTTTTGTGCTGCTTGCTCATGATCCCAACCAATTACTTGCGTTATAAACCCTTCGTTAAGGTAGGGGTCTGCTTCCAGTGTGGAGAATGTACTGTCCCAAGCTTCAGGGGTTTTGTGCAGCTGTTTTCAGAGATACTTCTAGGGACCTGTAAATTTTCAGTTCTTCCAAAGTGCTATGATCAAGGGAGAGGTGTTCACTCCTTTCCTGGCCTAGGCTCTGGTCTCTTGAGTCACCACAAGCACTCTTTTCTGTCTTGGAACTGTGAGGAGGGTTTCCTCTCCACAGCTGCTACTCCACCATGCCAGCACTCCTCCTCACCCCAGGACCGCCCCCCAGAACTGTGACCCAGATCCAAGCACAGGCAAAGCAAGAGAATCCTGCACCAGCAGAGAGATCCCCACAGTCCCCCTCTGATCAGCCACTCGATTCCCCCTCAGTCTGTGTGCCGGAAGCTCAGGAGGCAGCTGCCGCCCCAAGGAATGGGTCTGGGATCCTGCCCTCCTCTCTCACCACCACAGAAACAGACTGTTCCCACTGACCTTCTAAGTTGTCTTTGGCGTTCGTGGGTTCAGAAGTCTGGAAACCGCCACAGCTGCCCGCGATTCAGTCCTCTGAGGCCTGCTCCAGGTTCGCTGCAGCCTGCACACCCATGCTGCTCTGCACTCCTATCCCCTCCCAGCGCGATATACCTTTCTGATCAACCATCTAGGTTGTCTTGGGCTGGAAATTTGTTTCACTCTGTCTTTTTGTAGGTTCTGCTGCTTTAGAATTTGTTTAGAGCCATTTTTTATAGGTATTTGGAGGGCTTTGGGAGAGAGCTCAAGACAGTCACTGCTTTCGCTCTGCCATCTTGGCTCTGCCCCCTCATTGTTTCTTGCAGCCTGATTTTATTTCACTATATTCAATTATCATAATTTGCTTCTCCCAGTCAGTAGGTCCAAAACGATATCCCTAAAACATTAGTCTGAGCCCATCACTGCCCTGCTCAGAAAGCTCCCATGGGCCCTTGGTACCTCCAGGATGACATTCGAACTCTGCACTGTTCTGCCCTCACGTCCTGGCATTGGTGTACTGTTCCAACCTTGTTGTCAATCAGCCCATTTTACATACGCTTTGGTCCGGTCAGAGAGGTTTGTGCCGTCTCCTTTCTTGATGCCGTTCCACTGGCCAGAAATGCCCTCTCTCCCTGCATCCGTTGCTAGAAATCCGTTGTTTCCCTGAGCTCAGCTCCGACACCACCTTCTGCATGAATCCTGTTCTAATCTCAGCCTCCCTCACCCTGTCCTCCCCTTACAGCTGCCTCTGTGTCTCCCATCAATTCCCTTGTATTTATTTTGTAGATCCTCATTTTATCTATATCTGTATGAGTACATGTTGTCTTCCCTTAAGGAATGAGGGCAGTGCCCTTGATTTAGGAGAGGGAAGAAACACCGGAAAACTCTAAGGCCGGACCACCATCCACTCTGCTACCCTGCCTCTCCCAGAGTGGGGTTGTGGATTAAGAGGGTGGTATTGGTGTGAATGGGATGTGCCCTTTTCTGGGCCACCCAAACACAGCCACTTTTTTTTGGTAAAGTTTCCTCCAAGGATAATTGACTTGGAGAAGGGGTCTTGGAGGCCATTGAGTCCAAACCATCATTTTACAGATGAGGCAACCGAGGCACAGGAAGTTTGAGGAACTTTGTCCAGGGGGACTCATCTGACATTTTGCTTTTTAATTCAGGGCATAGTTAAAGTATACGAAAACCACAAAGGACTTTGAGGTAGAACTTTAGTAATCATGAGTGAAGCCAGTTACATGGCACCAGGAGATGATGGATGTTTCTGAGCATTGACGATAATCTACGTGGGAAAACCTTTGTACCCTGTGAAGTAAGACAGGCGCAATTCCAGAACCGGCCCGTGGCTTGGCCTGTTATCCACAGAGGGGACGTTGCCCTACAGAGCCCGAGTGGGTATTTTCCCTGAGGCAGACCTACTTGGCCAGATCCCTGCCTTGCAGTGAGGAGTGGATAGTGAGGCCTTGAACGTAGCTGTCAGAGTTTGGGGTCAGGAGCTAAATTCGTCACTGTAGATGTTTGTTGGGCTTTCCTGAAGGTCAAATGACTGATTTCTGCTCTTGACAAGGAATTAGTGTCTTGAACGTGCTTTTCAGTCATCTTGCCATCTCCGTGGACATTTGCCCTTTTGATGTGTCTGCTAGTTTCCTACTGGCTTTTGGTTACCCTGGGACAGACATATTTAAAAGGAGCATCTAACTTTTGGACTCTGTTGTACCTTTCAGACAATAGTGTATTGTAATTTCCTGTCTTTCCCACATTTTAGAAGGGCATCTAGAGAGTTTGAGGAGAAAAAAGCCTGTTAGAATTCTCTTAATTTTAAATATTGGAAAATGTGTTGACTCCATCCAAAGGCCTCATTTCTTTTCTTTTCATTTCTTTTTTTCCTTTTTCTTTCTGTTGCTGCAGAGCCAGAGATTCTGAAAACCATCAGCTTGTCTGTGTTTCTGAAAGGAAATTACCTGCCTTCAGAACTGGAAGGCACCGCCATGGCCTCGTATAGCATGCCCACAGGTAAGCTGGGATGTCCCAAAGAGACTACAAAGTCTCATTTAGCTTTTGAATGAATCGTAGGAGGGATTAAAATGCTGCACAGGAACGCATTAGGGAACCACTTTATATCTATCCTTTCTATACGTGTAAATGGAATTGGGCGCTGAGGCTGCCTGATGTCGTGGCTTCTGATCGTGGTTGTCATTTCTATTTTTTTCTCTGCACTGTTACCTGATCTTCACGATAGCTCTGTGATGTGGGTAAGGCCAATATTAATACCCCCATCTTAACGATGAGGAGTCTTAGCAGTGACAAATGATATGATTTGTCCGAGCTACTGAGTTAATATTGTAGGTGGGATTTGATCCCAGGTCTCTTTAGCACTCTCTGTTTCCTCCAGCTTCTCTGTAGCACACAGCTCCCACCAACTCCAGGTCCCCCACATACACATCCCTGTACACGAGTGAGGGCAGTAATGCATCTGTTAACACGAAGCTGCCAGAGCTAATGTTTACATTTTAAAACAAAGATTGCTTCAGGGGAGAAAAGACTCCTCTGAAATAGTAAATGTCTTAATTATGACTGTAAAATGAATGTAATGCTGACAAGTAGCCACAAGGGGGCATTAGAAGACATGAGCCCATGGCGAGATGCTGGGGCCTGCACTGGATTTCCTGTTGCCTGCCTCAAAGTTGGCTGCTTTTTATGTGCCCCGTAACTGTTTCTGGAGCCCCACTACCACTACTGTCAGACCCCCAGCACGTGGACCTGTGAGCACCCTGGAACTGGGAATAGATAACTGTCCTTTATATCTCACCACTGGAATGGCCTCTTCCAACTTTGTGCTCATAATTTAATTGTGTTTTTGTAAACTTCAGACCCTTCCAGAGTAAACTTTCACCGATTTTGCATTAGTAGAGTGTGATTTAATGAGATTTTACAGATGTAGTCAACTCTGTTACTTAAGGATGAATTATTTGCTCTATGTAATATAGCAAGTATTCTCCATCTTACTGTCCTACTCTCTTTTTCACTTATAATTAGCACTTTCATAAAGAAAATCAGCAATGGAGAGAGATTGGAACTCTGTTTACTTGGGATCATTCATTAACTAAATAAAATAGTAGGGTAGGGCTGAAACTAATTGCTGATGTGAGAGACCTGGGTTATTTGTCGATTTCTTCTGCATGAGTATTTGAGAACCAGAGTGGTGCCTTGTGAATGGTGTAGTGTCTGTGGGATAGTCTGAGTTTAGCTTGTTTTTCTAAACTGATAAATACTAGATTTGTTTTGTACCTTTACACAAGATAATTTAATTTACTGTCTTGTGTTTCCTTTTCCCCCACCCACTTTTCCCCACCTTCTGCCTCTGATTATAGACCTCAACCCAGATGGTAAGTGAAAGGAAACTTTTAAAAAAGTGAATATCACAATTGACACTTAGTTGGGCAGCAGATGTAGTCCTGTGCTGTCAGTACACGTGTAAGCACTATAGCTTGTACCTTTCTGGTTCTTGAGGATACTACTTTGCCTAGGTTCTTCTGGGAACAAGATGACAGACTGTGGGAAAGAATGGGGCCAGAAATTTGAGAAGAGAATCATCTTAGAAAAAAATAAAGAAATAACCCAATTACTCCTTTCTGAAAAAAGAAAAACAAAAATTTTGAAAATTGTAAAAATTTATCTCTGCCGATTGTTTGCCTGGATCATTGTTGACTTTGCTGTATTTGGGAAAATAGTCATTGGAAACTGAATCCTCAGGCATTTCCTGTACACATGGTTGCCGTAATCTTGCCTTTCATAGACACAGGCTTACTGCCCGCCTGTGTCCTCTGGGCCTGGTTCGTCCTCTGGGCTCGGTTCCTCCCCTGCCATCCCCTGAATTGGCCACAGAAGCTCCCACTGGAGGCCATGCCATCCCGGATCCTCTAGAACAGGGGTGGGGAAGCTGCAACCTCAAGGCCACATGTGGCTTTGAGGCCTCAGGTTCCCCACCCCTGCTCTGGAGTTTGGGAGGTCTTTCTGAAATTTAGACTCATTGACTTTTAACATTTGGATTTAAAAGACACATTTCTCAGTGTCAGGTAGCATTTATAAACAGAAGCATTCTGAACTTCATTGTCACAAAATGGGTGCTGAATGTTGCTTAGGTATTTTTTCTTTTAAAGTTTTTTTTTTTTTTTTTAGTAATTTAAAGTATTCCTAAAGGATGCATTTTTACTCACTGTGTAGATTCAGCTCTGCTAGTATGTGGGATTAAAGTGCTAAGCAGTCATGAATTAGAAAATTGTAGCACCCAGGAAATGCCCTTTTGTGCATGTCAGTGGAATTGTACACTGAGGCTGCATGCCTTTCTGCACTCTGATTGTGGGATAAGATCGAAAACAGCCTGCATTTACATGAAGAACAGCATGGATTCGCTGTTTTAACACCCCAAATGCAAAACGAAGTACAACTATCTTCTTCTGTCCTTCTCACCAGGTAGTTTAGAAACATAATTAAATTTTGGGAAATAAAGTTTGAATGCTCAGACCAACCCAGACAACAAGCAGTGAGACATTGCTTATTCACATATTGCACACACACAGGGTTTTGTATTTCAGAGACTGAACCCTTTCGGAGGCCCGAGCTGGTCAGCCTGTGGTAGAGCCCAGTAATCCTGCTTTGACAGGGGGAAGGAGAGAATGTAACGGAGGCTTTACGTTGTCCCGTAAGAGTTATTTGCCATTCTCGGGGCATTAAAGTTACATGACGTGGACAGTGTAGAACATGACTGTGGAGGAAGTACAGTGACCTGTGAGAAAATACAGAGGTGCAGAGGTTCTGCCTTCCCGGAGGTGCCACTGGGGCTTTGGTGCCTTTTGTTTTCAGTCCAGAATTCCTCCACCTGGCCCCTCCAACCGGCATTCGGAGGTAGGGAGATCATGGATGTATGAACATATACCAATATCTACATACACATGTTCAGATCTCTGTGTATGATACACAATGCCCATATAAAATACCGTGAAGTATCTGTCAATAGATGCATTACATACATTTATATACACATACACATGTATGTGGAGATAGGGAGACATCGATATCTGAACAGCAGAGAGTTACACACATCTCTCAGTTAAGTTATATGGCCGCATCACCCATGCACATCCCTACCTTCAAACATGTATGTATGTAGGTGTGTATATATACATACGAATATATATAAATGCATAGAATTGACATGTAATATATACATGTATACAATTTCATGTTTTAATGTGCAATGTTAATATATTAATATGCTTGATTATAGTTTCTTATAGGACTCCAAGGTATTTCAAATGCTAGTTCCAAATCCCTTATAAAGACTTCATATGTTGTATATAATATATACATATATATGTATATGTCTCTTTCTCTCTTTTTCTCTTTCACTTTCTCTCTCCCTTTTTCTCTCTGTCTTTCTCTATTCCTCCCTCTGTTTCTCTCTCTCTCCCCCCTCCTCTTTCCCTCTCTTTCTCTGTGTCTCTTCTCTCTCTTCCTCTCTTCCTCTCTCTCTCTCTCTCATTCTTTCTTTTTCTCTCTCTCTCTTCCTCTCCTCTCTCTCTCTTTCTCTTTCTCTCCCTCATTCTCTCTCTCTCTCCCTCTCCTCTCTGTCTCTTTCTCTCTCTCTCATTCTTTCTCTTTCTCTTTCTCTCTCTCTTTCTCTCCTCTCTCTTTCTCTTTCTCATTCTCTCTCTCTCTCTTTCTCCTCTCTCTGTCTCTTTCTTTCTCTCTCTTTCTCTCTTTCCCTATTCTCACTTGCAGTTATATATATTTTTCAGCAGTTTTTGGATCTGTTTCCTATTTGACAGTGATATTGGGCTTGAGGAAGTGACAGATATAATTAATATTTTGCTTCAGGAAAAAACATCCTGTCTGAAGATAATTTGGATGTTCATTTTCCCACGGTGTTAAATAAGTGGGTGATGATTACAAGCTATGCTTCTCTCTCCATGATTGGAAGGAAACTGTTGGGGTAGTTGTGATGATGTCGGGGGAGAGGTTCAGTGCTAAGCACAATGAAGTTTTTGGGAAAAAGTCCCTAGCTGAGAAAATGAATTGACCCCATTTTTTTTCCTCAGGGCTGCTTTAAGAAAGTTGGCCACCCCGGTTCTTTTTTTTTTTTTTTTTTTTTTTTTCATTTAAATCACGTATCAGTAGGGAGAAGAAACACTTAATTCAGGAAAACAAATACCAGCCTGGCTGTTTCCATTAAAGGGAAAGCCACCATGATAGGTGCTTCCGAAAGGTTCGGTTGCATTAGATTTGCCTTATGTTTGGCTGCTTCTATTGAGTAGGACCAAAGTCTCCAGGTTCTAGGTTCTGTTAGAAGACAGAAAAGAGTCTGAATGTTGACAGCAAGCTGTAGTATTAACATTTCAGTTTTCTCAAGAAAATGAATTTTTGTGAGGTGTAGAAGCTGACAGAGATTGTACTCAAAGGGATTTAGATCTAGCATTAGAGTAGTTTGGAGTCCTGTAAGGTGCCATAATCAACCATTCAGTAATCTTCCAGTATTAATTAAGCACCTACTATGTATGTGCCAGGCCCTTTGCTCACAGCTTTGACTACAAAGACAAAATGAACCAGTCCCTTCCCTCCTGGGGCTTCCACTCCATCGGGCCATGCTGCTCTCTGAAATGTTCTCTGGAAGCTTCGTGCGGCCAAAATTGGCTGATTTTTATGCTGGCATAATTAAAAAACAAACCAACTCATACACATAACCACTTAATTAACTATTAGCCTTATCATTTAAAAGGGTAATATTTTAGAACAGTTTTTCAAATAGGCTGGTGATCTGAGAGTAGGAAGAAATTTTGGGGGAATCCTGCACTTCCTGAATAATTAAAAAGCTTTGATCTGATGAAATTTGCTCCTTGAGAACGGGGACTGTGTCTCTTTTGTGTGCTACCCCTGGAGCTTAGAATTGAAGTTTAATAAATGGCTGATGACTGATTAATCAGTTACCCTCATGAGTGAGATCATTGAATCATTGGATCATAGATTTAGAACTGAAAGAGACCTCAGAGGCCAACGCCTTCATTTTTACAAAGCAGGGAACAAAGACTGAGCAAGGGCAGTGACTTGCCCAGGGTCACACAGCCGGTGTTAGAGGCAGGTTGGGAGCCAGGGTCTTCCTAGCTCTAAGTTCAGCACTTGAACTACAGGATCATCTAGGATATCACCGTGTCATAATGTCAATAATTGGCTCAAACGGCCGCTTGACCTGAGTCATTATCTCCTCTTTTGGATTTTTAGGTCCCTTAAAATCCATTTCTGTATATTTCTTTGCTTACATGCTTCAGGAGTCTGTGATTTTACCAGTGTGGATACCAGCACTTAGACCATGGCCCTTCTGTCATGTAGTAGCTTGTTAGAGGGTTCCCATGGCTAGAACCTTCTATCCTCCCTGCTTTGGACCCCCGCCTCCCCCCAACCTCTCCTGCCAGTGGCCTTGATAGAAGCCTCTCTAAACTCGGCAAAGCTGATCTTTGGACAGCAGCCTCCACCCAGGGCCGTACTCCAAGCTCATCCCAGCTCAGTATGACTTTCTAGAGCTGGTGATCCAACCATGCATGTTTCCATATCATGCAGCATCAGAGAAGTTCCTTTCTGTACCTAGATCTTCTTTCTCTAAAGATTTGGACCCTAGGAATTTGAATTCCTAGCCATTGAGAGCAGTACAAAGCCCAGCTTCTTGCTTCTGCCATCCCCTAATTTCTGAACCCAAAGATCAAGACAAGTTAGACTTGACCCATCTTATCCTGAGGTGGCACAGTGGATATAGTACCAGGCCTGCAGGCTGGAAGACTCATCTTCCTGAGTTCAAATCTGGCCCCAGATACGTACTAGCTGAGTGAACCTGAGCAAGTCACTTCACCCTGTTTGCCTCAGTTTCCTCATCTGTAAAATGATCTGGAGAAGGAAATGGCAAACCACTCCAGTGTCTTTGCCAAGAAAACCTTAAATGGGGCCACGGAGACTCAAACACGACTGAAAAACACTTGAACAGCGAATATCCCTCACCAGTTGGATTCTTGTTGATGTTTTAGGTTTTCCTAGTTTTTGAATAACACTAACCTTTGTCTACATTTGAATAACTCCATGTCCTTGGCCCTTTGGTTCTGATATACTGTGCTTATGGATTTGCATGTTGAGGGCTTCCTTTTGGAAACTTTGTCCCATCAGTGATGGGAAAATGGGAAAGCCTGGGCTGTGATGGCCTTGGTGGAACTGGCGTGGCTGTAAAGGAAAGCTATCATACCAGTGCCACTGGGTTGACGACCCTAGTACTGGATGGTGCTAAGACTTTGGCAGGGGGGAAATTCTCAATTATACATTGTGGTATCAAGTCTACAAAATGAATAGGACAAAAAAGTCCCGTGTTTCAGAATTGTGGGGCCTTGGAAAAGCATCGCTTGATCCTCAAGAATTTGCCACCCTGGTTTTTTCTGATATTTCAGGTATCCTTCGAATTGTCCAGTGTAAATTCAGACTGCCCCTGAAATTAATATGCTTGCCCCATCAGCCTTCCAAAATAGCAAGTCACAAACTCACGATTGATACGAACAAGCCTCCTATCAGTCTTCTCAGCCTCTTCCCAGGTAGGCCTTTGGAAGCTGTGTGTGTGTGTGTGTGTGTGTGTGTGTGTAACATCAGAAATGTTAGGCATTTAAAATGGACTCCTTTCATTGGTGAGTAATGATAGGGTAATTATAAGATAATCACCAAGTCAGCACAGAAGAATTTCTCAAGGATTCCCCCTGCCCCCCTTCATTTTGCCTGGTCAAAAGTGTAGCTTATATCAACAAAGTAATAACAGGTAGCTTTTAAGTTTAATTCAAAATATTTTAATGATTATTTTGCTTCACCACTCAAAAATGAAAACATCAAATGTGTCTTTAGAGATGGAAGGCTTGCTTCACCTGGAATGTAAATATTTATTCTTCATCTTTATTGTAGGAACATAAAATAAGCCCCCTTTCTAAGTATACCCTTATGCCCCAGGTGAGTAATCCTAGAAATAGGTTTTCTTGGGCGTGCTGATGCTTCCAGCATCTGGAACAGGAACATGTTTGTTCCTTGGCCGCCGAAGACCGGTACAACTCTGGGATGCCCAGTGTAGCTTTGTGAGGACGAGGGGGTCTGTGGCAGAGCCCACGAGGTGCTCACTCTTCTTTCCCATCAACTCAGCACAGCTAGTCCTTGGGCAGCTTTGGCTGAGTGACAAGGATCTGTAACAGCCCCTCATTCTTAAGCCACCACACATATCTGCTTTTTGGGGGATAGTGTGGAATTTTGAAAAAAAAAAGTCTGCTGATTTCATCAACCTTCATATGCCCCCTTAATAAACTCAGCTTTGCTACCTCTGAGATGCAGCCTCATCTTGGCCTTTTTGGGTAGGATTCAAAATACAAAGTATACTTCCTACGAGGTGTTAGAAATATTGTGGTAAGTCAAGATTTGTGTAATTAACTACTTAAGAGTACTTAAACTTTAGTTTTGATTGTTTTGCAAGGTGTTTTCATAGCTCTTATTTTTTTTTAATACGTTAGCTTACAAATGTCTCCAGACTCGGCACCTTCCATAAAGAATGTTTAATTTTGCATCTTTGGTTTCTTTTGGGGGAAAGAGGAGGTGTTTGTGTTTGCATGATTTACTTTTCGAAGCTTTGTTTACTTTCTTTTTGGAGAACTGGAGCCAAATTGGGACTTTTCACCAAAGGCAGGTCTGTGGAATTAATTTGAAAGTTGGAGTGATGGCTGTCTTCTGTATTCATCATCTGTCCCTTGTACAGCCAGTCACTGTTTTCCCCTGGAAGTAGAGTTGGAAATTGAGTTGAATAAGATGTTGGAATTTCCTGGATGCTCAGATGATTCGCGTTGGCCACGTGTCTTGTTCCTGGGGGTTTGATAATTATATTTTGAAGTGATGAGGTCCAGTGGATGGTTGACTCAAAATGCCCGTCCTTGAAGAGGGAGGTAACGGTGTAAGATAAGCTCTGTCTTTCAAGTGAGCAGACCTGATGTTAAGGAAAGCTTTAATGACTCATTGTTTTCTGAGGGATAGAATTAGAAAGCATTCCAGGTCAAACTGAGGTCTCTTGGCTGCTTAGTCAGTGTGTAAACTGGAGAAATCTGCCTCATTCTCCCCAGACTTGTATGTGTATGCTGCCCAGTCAACCCCTTGGGGACGGTGCTTGGTTTGATTTCTGTAGCAAACACACATGCATGTGCCTCTCCTGAGCCAAGTGTCAGTCAAGACCCCTGAAGTTTCAGTATTTATGGGGCCGTAGCTTCTTAGAGTATACGACTGTGAAAAAAATCCAGTGTGCCAACTTCTCAGAGGTTAGACTTTTCATTGGAACAGGCTACCCCAGGGACAGAGGTCCTGAGCAGAAAGATCCTTGCTGTAGAGGTCTTGGGATTCTCTTTAGGTGAATCCAAAGTGATCCGGTAAATTCCCCTGTGCTATTCAATGGCCTAGTTAGGGCAACAGTGACTGATGAATTTCTTGGTGTAGTCTAACTTGAAATGTGTTTAGAAAGTTAAATTAAACAAATTAAGCAATGTTAAGGAGGTTGAGGCTTTCCCACTTTCTAGAGAAAGACAAAAGCCTGAGAAATGATTTAACTTTATATTATTTTAATGTCTGGAAGCTCTTTTCTGAGAGTTCTCGGCATATCAATTATGAAGGGATTTATTTTCATATTTAAAACGGATGAACAAAGAATTAGAAATATCACACCAAATATTTACCTGGTCCCTATAAAAACTGGAGCTCACCATGGTCTTTCTTTCAGTGTTTACATGAATGGATATTGAAGTTGGTTGATTTGAAAAAATATGTTTGGCCCAGTGCAATAATACCAATAAAAATCACCCAATTAAAAGTTCTAAAAATTTCAGTTGAGTACAAGGTGTATTTAACTTGATATCTCCTTAGTTCCTGCTGATGGGCAGAGACTTTTGTCTCCAGAGCCTTAAGGCCAGCATCTCTGGTTCCTGCCTAAGGTCAGATGCCTGTTCCTAAGGATAGTCTTTCTCAGCCATGAGGATAAAGACAACTTTAGTCAACCTGATTTAGCCAGAAGATGTTAGAGTAGTGAGATCAGTAGAAGGGTACCTTCTCAAAGAAATTCAATTCAATTCAACATGCACTTATTATGTGCCACTATTTATTATGTATTACAACTGTGTGCTGGGGATTACAACTATACTGGGGATGGGAATAAGGAGAAAAAAAGGACACAATTCTTGTCCTCAAGGAGCTTGCATTCTACTGGAAACTAGAAATTAGAATGGCCAACCACTAATATAGGAGTAGGGATTCATAGACCACCCACAAGAAGGCCAGCTCGGGTAACTGAGCTTTCCTGAGAAGGTAGCAGAAGACTAGGCAGTTTTTCCTATTTTGACTTGGATTTCGCCAGCATTGAAATGCTTCTCTGTGCCCTCTTTCCCTTTTAGGCTTTGCTAATCAGTCTGATGATGACCAGGTGAACATGCTTGGATTTCGCTTCATAACCGGCTCCCAAGTTACCGTCCTGGCCTCCAAGACCTCCCGTGAGTGAGCTGAATTGCCGTTGCTATTTGAGTCTGACAAAGGAAGTGTCTGAGTCTTGACCTGTTTTGTGGATGATTGGTGGCAAAGGGTGGTCTGGAGGAGGGAGCATGGCGTCCCAGAAGAGGTGGTGACTCTGGAACCAGGTGCCATGGGGTCACATCCTGAATCTGTTGTTGACTTTGTGTGTGACCTTGGCAAGACAACTGACCTGTTTCCTTGTCTTTACAAGGAAAGTGGAGATAGGCAGAATGCCCCTCCTGGTCACCCCCACCCCCCCAATCGATGTCTCCTCCAAGTGGAATGGAATTGGAAGCTCCTTGAATTCAGGGATTCTTGTTGCTTTTGCATCTTTATCCTGAGCTCTTGGTACCTAGTTAGTGCTTAATAAATGCTCATTTATTCATTCATCTCTAGTGTCTCTTCCAGCTCTGAATCCACTAGAGAGTGAGTGGGAGAACCTCTGCTAGAGCCCAATCCCTGTCGAGCTGAAAGGTGGGGAAAATGGGTCCTAGCATTCAGTGACTTTCAGGAGTTTCAGGCCCTCAGAGGGGCCATATTCTGTCGTGTCTCATCTAACTGTTGAGGCTATACATGGTTTCCAGAAAAGACTTGCTGGGATCCAGAGGAGCTTGGTGAATGCTGCCTTGGCTCAATTCCTTCCATGGCTCTTCCTTCCCTGGGTGCTTCCTTGTTTCCTGCCATTTTCTTGTTCTTTGGGATGAAGGGGGTCCTATGCTCCCACTAAATGTTCTGTTGAAAACTTTTGAAAAAATGGAGCAAGGTTGGTTTCTGATCCTATCTGCATGCTTCATTTCACTTGGCAATGCTTTATACAAGCTTTACCTAAGAGTGGAGAAAACAAAGAGAAAAATAGTTTGTACATTGTACAGGTGGAAATTATTTTACTGAATTACATGTATTATTTCATTTTAGTGAGATAAAGGCAAATTAAAATAATTTGTAGGACATTTGTTTTCCGTGGACATTGTCTGCATTGGACTAACCATCTGGATATTTGGAACATTCAGATGATTGACTAAACTTTTAATTTTTCCCCCTATATGTTTAGAATACCTCAGTAGAACTTTAGTGTAGATCAAGCTGAAGGATGAGAAAGCATCCCTTTTTGAAAAAAAGCAACTTTGCCTCTATATACTCACCTAATCCAAGAGTGCAGTCCTAATCTTCTTCCATGCTTCAGGCCTGGCATTATTTCTTTGATGCAAATTTTTAAAAGATGTCATATACTGTATGTGGGCCGCTGGAAGTGAGCAGCTAGGTGGTGCAGTGGATAGAGTGCCAGACCTGGAGTCAGGAAAACTCATCTTCCTGAGTTCAAATTCAGCCTCAGACACTAGCCATGTGACCCTGGTCAAGTCACTTAACCCTCTTTGCCTCAGTATCCTCATCTGTAAAATGAGCTGGAGAAGGAAATGGCAAACCACTCTAGTATCTCTGCCAAGAAAACACCAACTGGGGTCACGAAGAGTCAGACACAATTGAAAAATGACCCAGCAACAATAAGGGGCCATAGGCAATGAGGTTGGCTTGGGTTTTCTGTTGATCAGTTTCTGTCTCTTCCTCTAAGACTAAAATTGAGTTTTACAGAAACTTTCTAATAGACCCATTTCTGCCTCATGAAGAGTCCTTCCTTTGAACTCTAGAATATCAATCCAGAAGGACTCAAAATATGCAAAGAAAGCAGGATCTTTTACACAAGTAACATTCAAGTCCTTTGTAAGTCATAGGAAGTTGACTGTGAAGCTTGGTGCCTGGGGTTGGTGGATCCTTACAAGTCATCTGCATCTAAAATCATGCTTGATATTTAGGCCAAGCTACGAGGGAGACATGTGGCAATTTTGGTTGAGTTTCCTGATTCGCTGTGGACTAGACCAAAGCCGCCAAGTGGTAACACCGTGCAGCTTTTTGTCTGAGGTATCATATCATTAAGGGAGCCGAATAGCTTTTCATTGCCAGCAAGTGATAGACTTTCTAATTTAATTGGAGTTTCTTACATGAATGTGAAAAAAGAGAGAGAGAAAAGCGTTGAGATCATGTCTTTCAGCCAACAGGCTGCTTTAGCCAAACTCCTCAGTCCCCGTGTGTTATTCCCAAGTTGAAGATGCAAAGCCTGGCCTCAGCATCCTCCAGCTCCCCAAACTTGGCTACTCCCTGTAGTTTCTAAAATAAAAAACAACCTTGTCAGCCTGGCGTTGAAGGGTGGCAAACTATGTCTCCATTGTTATCCCTCTTTACCCCCCTTTCTGTGTTCTGCAGTTCGGCTAAACCGGGCCTGTGGTTATTCCCCAAACTCTTCCCACTAGGCCATCTCCCATCCTGGGAGTAGACATCTCAAGAATCCTAACTGTATCCTTCATAGGATACCTACCTCTGAGTAGAGAAGGCTGGAGGTTGTACTTGTAGAGACAGCTTGTGGTGGTGGAAAGAATGTAGGGCCTGGAGTGCAGAGACCTTGGTTCGAATCTGGCCTCGGGGAGTCACGGTGTCTCAGAGACTTGGTTTCCGTATCCCTAAAGTGGGGAGAAAGATGGCTGGTGGGCCTCCCTTTAGAGGGATTGGTTTAAGGCTTAAGTTATGTTTGTAGAGTGCTTTGTAAACAATAAACCAGTGGATGAATGCCAAATATCATTGTCATTATTGTTACTCATCATAATTCTAATGTCGAGAAACAGTCATGAGACGAAACAATTTATTTGTCCGATGGTAAAGAGGAAAGGTTAATTTGTAGCCTTTGTCCGTTTCTACCTGGGACGTCAGGAAGGAAGGAATCAAGCGCTGACTTACGGCGTTTATAGACTCGGTGTCAGGCGCAGGGCCGTAGGATCTCATTGGATCCTTACAACAGCACACGGAGGTGGGTACTTTATCCCCATTTTACACTGGAGGAGTCTGAAGTCAAAGAGGTAAGTGACTTGTCCAGGATGGGGGAGAAAACCAAGGACAGGGAGATGGCCATGCCGTGGAGAGCCTTGGACATCCAACAGAGGAGGTGATACTTGGGCCTCAAGGGACAAGAATTCACTGGAGCTGGTTGAATCGAGGGTGACAGGGCCAGACCTACTTCTGCTTTGGGAAGATCACTTTGACAGCTGAATGGGAGGTTGAATGGAGTGAAGGAGAGACTGGAGGCAGGGAGACCAGTGTGGGGGGTGGGCAGTCACCGGGGCAAAAGGGCCTGAGCCTAGGGGTGGCCGAGAGAGGGAAGAGAAGGGGACGAGATAGACGCACGGGACGCTGTGGAGCAGAAATGGCCAGAAAACGGGGTGAGGAGTGTGGTAGTTATGTATGTTGTATGTATATGTGATGTGTGTGGCACATGTGTGTATATTCATGTGTGTGGTGTGTGTATGTGTGTGTGGTGCATGTGTATGTGTGGCGCATGTGTGTGCGTGTATGGTGTGTGTGTGTATGTGTGTGTGTGTGTGTGTGTGTGTGTGTGTGTTTGAAGCTCTCTTGGGCAAAAGAGGAAAGTCTGAGAAATGGGAGGCCTGTCAGGGTCTGGTGGTGACAGGTGGGCAGGGTGAATGACGAGACAGGAAAGGTGGCACCATTCAGTTCTAATTTGGCTTCCATTTTCTCTGCCAATGAGGATGATTATGGGAGTGGAGAGAATGCAAACGGCCAGGAAGGAGCTGATCGCCCAGATCAATGAGCTCCTCGCCACTCTGGGTGCGTCAGGCCACCAGGCCCCGATCAGTCTCCTTCCAGGGTGATGGGGCCATTGGGGCCCCAGGAATGACCGTTGGAAGCACATGGATGATGGGAGCAGGGCTGCTGGGCACATACTGGGGCTTCCTCAGAGGGGAAGGCTCATGAAATTGAAGAAGATTTTATGGAAGGCATGGGTAGTCAGCATCTAGAGAAGAGGAGAGGCTGTGATGATTCCAAAGAACTATGCTCGGCCCTTGAAGAATGGCCCCGACACACTGGAAGACCCTCACTGCCTCTCATGCTGTGCACGGTGACTCGGCGGGTAGATTGGTGGATGCTCCATGGAGAACTGACCCAACCTTGCCTAGCCCTAGTGTAGAGAGGGTGACAGTGTGCAGTCGGGCTGGAAAAGCTGTGGAGGGTCATGAGTGGCAGGAGCAGGAAGGACTTCCTTTGTCAGGCAGGAGTGAAGTATGGGTGGTTTGGGGAAGGGGAGGGCTGCTGTTTAGAGCACTCTGGAGCAAGGGGGATTAGCTGTCCAGCGAAGGGTTCGGTGGCCTGAGGGAGATGCAATGTGCTTTTCTTTTAATATATATATAACAATAATTATTGCTTTATGTGAATAGTATATGAGGGTTTTTATGTTAAGATTGTGGTAGTGAGAATGGAAAGTGGATTTTGTTGGGATACAGGTGCTATGAAGCGTTGAATGATTCAGCGAGGAGGCAAGGGAAATGGGGCTGTTAGATCTCATTCTGAATATTCGTTTCTGAGTAATGAGAGTGGTGCTAGCCCTGGCAGAGAGAGGGAAGGCCGGAGGAGGGAGTAGTTGTTGTCGTTGTTTAGAGATGACGAGTTCAGTTTTGGGCCTTTGGGCTTGAGCTGCCGCGCGGACATCTGGGCAGAGGTGTGCGGTAGGTATGTGCAGTAGGTGTGGCTAACTTCATCAGGAGCAGGTCATGCCAAGGGTGCTGGGCTGGAAGACCAGGAGATGCATTTGACGTGGTTTACATAGACTTGAACAAAACATTGTATGGCATCTTCCACGTTCTCATCCCTTGCCCCTCAGTATCCCCAGTGGCTCCCTATTACCTTCAGGATCAAATGTAAAATCCTCTGTTTGGCATTTAAAGCCCTTTTCCTCCTTTTTCTGCCTTCATCCATTTGACTCCTCCATGCACTGTGCATTATAGTGACCATGGCCTACTAGCTGCTCCTCACACGTGACACGCTATCTCCTTGTTCTGTACATTCAGGCTGGCTGTTGCCTATTCCTGGAAGGCTCTCTGACCGCACCTCATCCTCTTAGCTTTCCTGGCTTCCTTCAGGACTCAGCTGGAAGGTTTTACCTTTCGCAAGAGGCCCTCCCAGTCCTTCCAGCTGCTTGTGTCTTTCCCCTGAATGTATTCTCCACTGTGTATGCCATGTACCTCATTGCATGTTGTCTCTCCCATGAGAATGTGGGCTCCTGGAGGAGAGGAGCCATGGTTTTGCCTTTGTGACCCGGGCCTTAGGACAGCACCTGTCATGTAGTAAACTCTCAATTCTTGTTGACTGACTGATGAGAGATATGGGCTAGAGGTTGTTATATTTAGGTGGGTTGGGAATTGGTTAAATTAATTAAAGAAGAAGTCACCTTGGAGGGGCAGGTGGAGTATATCCTGGGAATGGAGGGTAGCCATGCAGGGATGTCTGGAGTGGGTGGTCTCATGTATCTTCCTCTGCTCTCTTCTTTTTGTTGTCTTTAAAAATGATTTGGGTGAAGGCACAGGTGGTGTGCTGATCCAACGTGCTGATGACCTGAACCTTGGGAATGTGGAATGACAAAGTCAGCAGGTCTCCAGGGGCCACAAAGCTGACTTGAAGGTTGTAAAATGAAGTTTAATGGACAACAGTGTGAAATCCTGTTCTCTGATTTAAGAAATGCAGAGTTGGGCAGGGACACACACTCTACCATTTGCATGAAAAGGATCTAGGGATGTTAGTGGACTTCCCGCCCAACATGAGTATGACTTAGTCAAAGAGTAAAAACAATGTGGAGAGGCGTAGCGTCTAGAACAAGGGTGATGCCAGCCCTCCTGCCCGCAGCCTCATTGGACCACATCTGCTGGATCGTGTTCAGTTTGGGTGCCGTATTTTAGGAATGACCTTGACAAATTGGATCTTCTCCTGAGTTGGGCCACTGGAGCCTCAAGGCTGTTCTAGAGAAGGGCCATTTGAAGTAATCTGTGATGTTAATTTAAGCCTGCAGAGGAGTAGACTTCCCAGGCTTCGTTTGCTGTCTTTGAGCTGAGGAATAATGAACATAGATAGTATTTACATTTGACCTGGCACCAGTGAAGAGAGTGAAATGAAGAACGATTGCACTGGTGGGTGTGGTGAATAGTGTAGAACAAGATGGCGGCTATGGGAATGGAAAGGAACACGGGAGAGTAAGAGGAAAAGTCACTAGACCTTGGTGACCATTTTAACAATTTGCTGAAAACTACCACGGATGGCAGTGAACAGTCAATGCAGGCCCCTGCCCCCTTCGGATGAGCGTTTTACTCCATTTTGACAAGTACCATTAGGTGCTGGGTTTGGGAAGTCTGCACATTTAATGGCACATTTTACGGAGAGGCAAACATATTTAGAGGTTAGAATATACTTGTCAAGAGGATGCATTTCCTTCCGTTTCTCAAATTTAATTAATTCATTTAACCAATATTCACTGAGTGCCTGGAATGTAGGAGGTGCTGTGTTAGGCCCCCAGGGGATACAGGCATTACTGGGAAAAGATCATCCCTCCCCATTCTCCCAGTGAGAATCTAATATAAGTGGTCCTACCCTGTCAGCTCTGTGCCCTGTAAGGGGAGCAGGACTTTGAGGGGATGGCACTTTGTTGTGACCGTGACTTGATGAAAGAGCAGCAGCGGCTATTTCAAAGGCTCATTCACTCAACAAATATTTGTCTTGGGCCTGCGCATTCCAAGCACTGGATCTCTGCTCTGCTTGTTCTAATACTCCTAAGGGCTGACCTTTATATAGGGCTTTATTTGTGGGTGTTGTTCAGTCCTTTCAGTCACATTGGACTCTTTGTGACCCTGTTTGGGGTTTGCAGTTTTCTTCTCCAGCTCATTTTACAGATGAGAAAACTGAGGCAAACAGAGTTAAGTGACTTGCCCAGGGTCACACAGCTGGTAAGTATCTGAGGCTAGATTTGAACTCGGGAAGTTGAGTCTTCCTGACTCCAGGCCTGGCCGTGCTCCCTAGCTGTCCATACAGCACTTTAAAGGTATATGCAAAACTCTTTACACGTATTCTCTCATTTGACCCTTACAATAGCTCTGGGAGGTAGGTGCTATTATCATCCCCATTTTACAGTTGGGGAAACTGAGGCAGACTTTTTATTTTAAAATGACTTACCCAGGGTCACACAGCTAGTGTCTGAGGCCAGAATTTTAGGTCTTCCTGACTGAGTCCCAAACTATCCCCTGTGCCCCCTGACTGCTCCGTGCTGGTGTGATGAGGCAGGGAGGGTTGCTTTCCTCACCTTTTGTTCCCCTCTCTCTGATAAATGGACATGTGTTTGTATGCTCTCTGTCCTTACTCTCGAGCTCCACCTTCTAAATTAATACGTGCAGCCACTTTCAGGCTGTAGCTGAGTTGAGGGGAAGCATGTTGCCTGTGATCATTGGAGGTTCTATCGACCCAAAATGCCCCCAGAAGACGTTTCATTTTTTAAAATATTTCTGTGGGTCTACATCACGGCTGCTCTTACCCGGTGGGGTTCTGTCCCAAGATGCTCACTAAATGCAGCCTTCTCTGCATGACCTGGTGACTGCCCCCCTTTGGGAACCAGCTGGTGTGGTGGAGGCAGAAAACAGTCATCCAACAGCAGACATTTTTACAGAAAGTCAGTGGGAATTGGGGCAGGCTGGACAGCTTTTGCTGACTGAGTTGTATCACCCAGCCTCTCGATGTAGAGCTGATGGCTAACGGGCGCTTCTCTCTCCTCTTTTGGCGGCTGTTTCGACAGAACGCTATCGGATCCAGAGCGAGCAGTTTGAGGACCTGTGGCTCATTACCAAGGAGCTCACTCTTCGTCTTCAGGAGCATTTTGAAAAGCAGGGAGTCAAGGATTTCACTTGTTCTTTCTCGGGCTGCATTCCTCTGCAAGAATACTTTGAGCTAATTGACCAGCATTTTGAGGTACGTCTGATAATGTTGTAATCGTGATGTTTTTTACATTGTACGTGAACACACATCTACCCCAGCTCATTTTCAGCAGAGCTCTACCTTGAGTTATCTTTCCAGTAGGAATGGTGTGTCTGTGTTGATCCTTCCATGATACCCTGTCTGATTTCCCTGTGACTAGTGACCCATATTTAGGAGAAGACTAGAAGAACAAGTTGGAACTGGAGGGGTCGCTAGGTGGCGCCATAGCGCATAGAGCACTGGGCCCACAGTGAGGAAGACTCGTCTTCTTGAGTTCAAATCTGGCCTCAGACACTAGCTGTGTGACTCTGGGCAAGTCACTTAATCCTGTCTGCCTCAGTTTCCTCATCTGTAAAATGAGCTGGAGAAGGAAATGGCAAACCACCCCAGTGTCTCTACCAAGAAAATTCTAAGTGAGGTCATGAAGAGTCCGACATGACAGAAAATTGACTCAACAAAATTGGAACTGGCTTGGGCAGGTGGTCCATGTGGAGATTGCTTCAAGTCCTGGCCTTTTTAGCCCAGGGCTCTAAGCGAATGACTTGAAGTCTGTCTAGAATTTGTGGACTAAGGTTAAGGACCCCTGGACTAGAGGAAACGCGCCCAGTGTTTTTGGATAAACAGACCAGAAGTTATGTGTGGTCATTAATGCCTCAGAGCAGTCACCTTGGTGGCCTGTCCTTGTATTCCAGACAGGCTTCCAGCATTTGGAATCCTTCTTTTGGCTTTACTTTCAGAGCATAAAATACTTTCAAAAAGCAGTTGTTATGTCCTGAGGAATATGGTTTCCATTTTGGGGACTGCCTCGAATTCCTTTGGAACCATAGCTCTACCTCCGGTATCATAAAAAATCCCTTGCTCGGCATTCAAAGCTCCTCATACCCTAGCCCCCTCCTCTCTTTCCAGTCTTCCCACACCTTACGTCCCAACACATACTCTTCGGTCCAGTGGCCCTGGCCTCCTGGCTTATCCATGCACGAGACCTTCCGCTTCGCAGCCCCAGCATTCTCTGTGGCTCCCCCCACCCCGTGCCTGGAGTGTTCTCCCTCCTCATCTCTGCCCCCTCCCAACTAGAATCACATCTTCCACGGGAAGCCTTTCCCCAGCCCTCTCAATACCAGTGCCTTCCCTCTGTTCATTATTTCCTGCAGCATATGTAGATATAGACATATCTACACATCTGTATCTGTTTATCTTGTTTGTGTATATTTGTTTGTTGTTGTCGCCATTGGACCGTAAACTCCTTGAGGGCAGGAACGGTCTTTTTCCTCTTTTTGTCTCCCCAGTGCATAGCCCAATGCCTGATACATAGTAGACTCTTTATAGATGTCAATGACTAACTGATCAACATCTGGGAAGCAATGTAGGAATCAGCCTGGCTAATGCGTTTTGAGGGAAGTGAGATATAATTAAAAAAAGGAAAGAGATGAATTCTCCTGCTTGGTTTATAATTGGTTTCAAGGGCAGTTCCCAAATGAGGTTTGTCAAATGTCAGTATTATTGAACAGGATGTCTAGGCAGCCAAAGTGACTACTTTGTAATATACTTTTTTTGTGTATTTAAATCTGCGTGTGTGGAAAATCAATCATATTACCTTATGTAAATATTTTATGTATATTCAAAAAATAATTAGCTTCATTGACCTAAGTTTTTATGGCTTATGAATATATTCTGAATCTCAGAGCAATATTTGTGGTGCATGAATTAGAATCAGTTCCAAATCTCAACAAACACATTAATATTAAACCATTTGAGGTAAAATGGCCTTGGATTGAGCCTCTTCTCATATATCTTCACTTCAGTAGAAGCTCTTTGAGAGCACGGACCGTCTCCTTTTTGTCTTTTCCTGTCTGGTGCCTGGGATAGGCCTTGGCTTGTTGAAGATGGTTACTCAATGCTCTTTGGGTGATTGGCTAAATATGCACGTCTTTGGTTCCAAGGATTTGGCCAAAAGATGGCACTAAGTTAATCTCCCCAGAATCCAGTAGCTAGTATGTTTTTTAAAGACATGGTTGTTCACTTGTATAAAATACTATCCATATGGGCCACAAAAGGGAAGTTCAGTCAAATTTCTCTTCTGTGGTCCTCAGGCATTCAGAATTAGTATAAGAATTTCTGTACAAAATGAATACATAATTCTCTACAGCATCAGGTCCTTAGAGAATAAAGAGCTTGAAATAATGTTTTCTTTGACTTGTCAAGGTCTTATGAGGAAAGGAAATTCTGCAAAGAATCAGTGTATTTTTATGCCAAATGCTTTCAATTTGAGATGTCTGAATTTTTTCATGTTAAAGCAGTCTGATATGTATGATACATGATATATAAATAATGGCCTATTGTAAATTACATTTTTTTCATTCATTTCCCTCTTTCAACCTACTTTTGGTGAGATGAACCTGTGATTTCTTTGGTATAGGGTAGAAACTCCCTCTACCCATGCAAATCTGTAATTTGCAGTCTAGCCTGTGTCTGGGGAACTGAGAGATCTGGGGCCTTGTCTGTGATCAGACAGCAGCCGGATATCCACTGTGGCATGTCATGTTCTGTTTTGTGGTATTGTAGTCAGATTACTATATTCCTTCAAACATTTCTGTCATTCAGCTTTTTTTATTAACAATAAAAACTGCTCATTAATCGCCTCCTGTGTGGTGAGTGCTGCAAATGGCTCTGGAGGAGAGAATTTCTATCCCCAGCACTTGCCCTTAGGGAGATTTCAGATCAGCAGGTTGGCCTACCTACTGTGTCTGACATTCTCACAGGGAAAAACTCACGGCTTTCATTTGGCCAAAGGTAATTCATTTGCAATGCACCCATGTCATTTGCCTAAATGTGCTTCCTTTTATGTTCTGTGTGTGTGTGGTAAGAAAATATTCATGCACAGTTAAACTATATTAAAGAAAACCATTGTCCTTTTCTCTCTAGTAATGCTGGCCTCCCCCCCCCCCCCCCCCCACACACACTACAAGACCCATTTCTTTATTTGCTGTTGGGTAACCTCACACTTTCTCCAACCTTCTGCTAATACCATTTAGTCATCTCTGGGAGTTATTGAAATGGAAAGATTTCTTTCTTTATTGCTTTTTGTAAGAGACAAGCGCCTCTTCCTGCCGTTCAGTTTTTCCACCTATTGGCTGCGTTTTGCAGTTGTTACATTTCCATAAAGTTGCTAGGTTGATGAATTATTAAGATGCATCATCTTGGTTCATAAACGATTTCCTTAGAGTCATTTTGCTGCCCTTGGAAGCTCTTTCAGGCAGAAGGCCATCTGGGGCACTGGGAAATGACAACCTCAGGGAGCGAGGCAGAGTCCTCTTCTCTATGACTTTTGTATCAAGAGAGATGGAAATATTTCTGTTCAACAATACACTGTTGTATATTTCCATGCCTTGCTCCTAATTCTGCCATTGGAGGCCAGACAGGACATGTCGAATCATTCTTCCACCAGGTACTTGAAGATGGCTATCACATGCCCCACCGTATGTTTTTGCTTCTTCTCTAGGCTAAACATTCACTATTGTTGTTGTTCAATCATTTCAGTTGTGTCTGACTCTTCGTGACCCCATTTGGGGTTTTCTTGGTAAAGATAATGGAGTGGTTTGCCATTTCCTTCTCCAGCTCATTTTAAAGATGAGGAAACTGAGGCAAACAGGATAAAGTGATTTGTCCATAGTCACATAGCTAAGTGTCTAAGGCCAGATTTGAAATCAGGAAGATGAGTTTTCTTGACTCCAGTCCTGGCTGTCTATCCATATGAAATGACTGCCTATCTGACTATATGTCAGACTCTGACCAGTATGTCTTCTTTGTCCACTTGTCCTTACTCTATGGATCGATTGCTTGGCAGGTGCCTTTTCTCTTTGGGTTTTGGGTAGGGTACCCTCCCAACGCTATCAAATGCTTTAATGGTAGAATACGTCCACCTAGTTTATGTCTCATTTAACGTTGATGCTCAATGGATGATTGAACAAGATTATCTCCTAGGTAGTGTCTGTCATGGAATGGGAGAGAACTCCTTTGAAGAGAGCCTTTAAGGCCAGAATTTACTCTGTTGAGAAAAATACTTAGTTGTACTCAACACACCATAGACTTGGTATGGTTTGTATTCCTTATGCCTCAGTCAGTTGTGTGCCTGGGAATATGTGGTCTGCTGTAGAAACTAGTCTCCAGAAGCCTTCTTAGAGCTTTATCACATATACCCTCAGGACACGGCTCATGGGCCATTCCCATAAAGATTATCGAGTTGAGAAAAGTAGCTATAGGAATCGCTGTTTGACATCTAAAGCCCATCACCCCCTGGCTCTAATCTACCTTCCCAGCCTTCTTACAAATATCGTTTCCCTTCATGCATTCTACAGTCCAGGCACATAGTAGTCACTTAATATATGCATATTGACTTGACCTCCCATTAAGGCCATTGCCCTTCCCCTGTGTAGTATATCGGGCACTGAGATAATGGCGTCCAAATGCTTCGGCTCCCCTGCTGTCCGTGATGAAGCTGGATTTGGATAGAACACTGGTGGGTCTTGTTAATTCCCAGGGCGATAGTGCCCTTTTCCAAGTTTCATCCATAAAATACTTTCTGAATCAGGTTCACTTACTTCAAGTGCTTTGCTTTTTCATTAGGGATTTTTTTCCCCTGGAGTATATGTGTTTGTGTGTATGTGTGTTGTTTTAAAGGGCATTTCTCTGGTTATTAGCAAGTATGGGCTCTTTTTCAGATGCGTTGAGAGTTGATGTTTCTTCTTTTGAAAGTTGTTTCTTCATCTCCTTTGACCTGATTGGCTCCTGATTATATCACTTTGTGTCTGTTTCCCTATAGGTTTTGTTTTTTCTTTTTTTTTTTTTTGGTGAGGCCATTGGGGTTAAGTGACTTACCCAGAGTCACACAGCTAGTAGTCCCTTTATGTTTTGATGTCAGACTTTTATCCGAGATGTTTTGTTGGAAGATTTCTCTCCAGTCCCTCTCTTTTCCTTTATGAATAAGTCTTGTTGATGTTCGTTTGTTTTTTACACCACAGTCTTTCCCACATAGGAGCCCCCTTCACTCCCACTCATCCTTCCTTGTCATGTGTCTTTTCTTCTCACTCTAGCTAAGTTGATTTTATTTGTATGAAAGCTTTTTATTTTTATATAACAGCATTATCTTTTATACTACTCTCTATGATGCTGGTAGTTACAAATTCATTCGCTTTCTAGTTGTGAAAAATAGAGTCCTTTACTCTCTCCCAGTTTATTATGATATGACTCTATATGACAAGTCATTTTCATTTTGCTGATAGGATAATATGTAGAGAGAAGATATATGCATTTTCCCCTGTGCTATCACAATCCATTAGTTAAAGCATGAAATAGATTTTTCAATTTACAGTTGCATTCATAAATATTTTGTAGACATGCTGTTGGTTTTCCTATATATTCAGTACATTACTTCTTAAAAACACGGACATTTTCAGCAACTGTCTAGACACATTATGTATCCTTTTATATTTATGGTATGCCTTAAATTTGGGGGATTTCATGCTGTTGTATTTGCTTTGTGAAAAAATAGCCACCTCACTTTGGAAATCTTTTAATTAGTATGTACTGTCTTGATTATTTTAATTTTCCATAGTATTTTATTACTATTAAGAGAAATGCTTTAAAAGAAGAATAGTGGATCTCAGAGTCAATGAAAAGCATTTATGTAGCCCCTACTCTGTGTTAGACATGAGCTTCATTAGTGGACTGATAGCCACCTCCATTTTTGACCCTAAATGTGTCTGGCATAACAAAGGCTCTTTATTGGCCAGTTAATTAGGATTTTGGAAATTTTTAATTATAGCTCCGATTGAATGGAGAAAAAGTTGAAGAGCTATTATCTGAAAGAGCCATCCAGTTCCGAGCCATCGAACGACGCCTGCTGAGCAGGTTCAAAGATAAGACGCCTGCTCCTCTCCAGCATCTGGACACCTTGCTTGATGGCACGTACAAACAGGTCAGTGCAATAGGCATCATTTTTTTCCAGGATGATGGAGATTCTGGTGTGATTCAGCATGGGGGTTTGCTGCAGGGTGTCCTCTAGGGTAAGAAATGTCTTTCCCTGGATATAATTCAGAAGCATTTTTGTGGCTTTCGATTGCTGTGATCGCCATCTTGTTCTTAGAATCATCAGTATGAGATCTGAGCCCTAGGTTTCATCTTTACCCAGTGTTTGACTTTATGGAGACAGAAACTTGGTTCATTGCTCTCTCCGCCTCCCTTCTTGAGGTATGCAGGTGAGTGTCACAGAGCGCTGTTTTGGTCGGCGTTTTCATGAATGATGTGATTGAAGTAAGTGATGGCCTGCTTATTGGACTTACTGATGACATGAGGTTGGGATGGGTGCCTCAAGAATAGGATAATGGATCAGAAAGCCCAAACCGTGGATCTTGTGAAGCTTCTCATTTGGGGAGTTAGTCGGGGCTGTTCTTATGCACGTCTGCCTCCATGTCCCGGGCAAACAATAGGTAAGTATTTTTTCATAGCCTTAAAATAACGACTTTTATTTGCTTACCTAGAACGTACATTTAAACCAAAAGATGCCAGGCAGACCGAAGGACTGCAGCAAAATTTCTAATTACCAAAAAGTAGCAATCAGTCCCCTTTTATATGGACTGTGGTAAGTCTGCTAGGCCTTATTGATTCCAGGCTTTTTCTCGGCTAGTGTGACACCTGCAATCATATTGACTCCTAGTAAGTTCCTAAGAGGTACAAAGTCATGAGTGCACCTGGTCTGGTGGTTGGGAGTTAGTCAGGCGAGTTCTCCAATCCCAGAATCCTGTGGCCCAATGAGGAATATGGGTCTCTGGGGGTGGAAGGGAAGGAGAGATCAGAGCTCTTCTCTGCTTTCTCAGCTTGACCCTCCACCCTTTTATCATCTCCATGAAGAAGCCTCATAAACCCCAGCATAGAGGAGCTTGGGATTAGCCCTCCATCCAAGCCCGGGTGGGTGCAGTGTTTTAGGTTCTGGCTGTCACTCCTGTCCTCAGTTCAAAGGTAACTGGGGGTACTTCAAGGATTTCATGATGCCCGGGTCAGCCACTGGCAATGGTCCTCTCCCAAGGAACTGCCGGATGTTGTCCTTAATCATATGTGTCTTTTGATTAATACACAATGTCAGTTATGATTTTAATGGAATTTGAAGAGAATTTGACTCTAGGATATCTAGATTACCCACGCCAATGAGATCACAGTTCCATCAAAGAATGAGTTTCTCTTTGACTTTTCGTATTCAATTTTTTAATTCTGTAATTCTGTAATTTAATTCTGTAATTCCTTTCATGTCATTTATGAATTTAATTTCCTTTTTTTGTCTCTTATAAATTTTTTTCAATTAACAAGCATTTATTTTCTCTCTTTTCGGCCTTGGAAAATGACAAATATTGGGTGGGCCATGGAGAAATGGGGCCATTAATGAGCCATTAGCGGTGCTGCGAATTGGGGCAGCCATTCTGGAAAGCAATTTGGAACTATGCCCACAAGGTTTCCACCCTTAGAGTCAACAGAGTCACTGCTAGACCTGTGCCCCAAAGAAATCAAAGAGAGAGGAAAAGGCTGCTGAACCACACTTTACTCACATGAGAAAACAAATATTTATAGTATTGTTTTTTGTGCTAGCAGAAACTAAGGGGGTGCCTGTCATTCAGGAAATGGCTGAATGAAGGTCATTAATTCTGTTTGTCTTTAATACATAGTAGTTTCAAAATCACAAATAATAAAAAGGTAAACACCTTGTCTTTTTAGTCGTATACTTGAGATACTAAAACAATATACAAAATTAATTTAGGAAAAAAAATCAAGAATTTTGCAAGCTGTTTGAAGTGTTAATTCAAAATATGTTTCAGGTTCCTTATGAGAATATCTGTTAAATTATAGATCCAGTTCAGCCTGCTGGAGTTCCTTTTTCTTTTTTCTTTTGCTAGGCAATGGGGTTAAGTGTAGTAAGTGTTATGTGTCTGAGGCTGGATTTGGACTCAGATTGTCCTGAACGTAGGGCCGGTGCTCTATCCACTGTGCCGCTGAGCTGCCCCTGGAGTTCCTTTTTTTCTTCCCACCTAATAGAATTGTGTAGCCTGAAGATGAGAGGAGTGAGGGGGAGCATGAGAACTTGCATGCGGTGTGTCTTAGGGAGCGGGCGGGCCTGTTGTGCGTGGCCCGCGGTGGCAGAAGGAGGAGGCGTAGCGAGCAGAATTCAGAGACACGTTCTCGTTGGGTGGACAGAACGTTTCTGGAGATGGGGGGTTGTCTCCAAGCAGAGGGTCTCCTTAGGTCGTGGTGGTCTCCCCTTCACTGGAGGGCTTCAAGGAAAGGCTGGATGACCACTTATGAGGAGGAGGTAAAGGCGATGCTTTCATAGCCTTATTAAGCTTTTTCCACTTGTGACGCCTTCAGCGCTTCTTAAATTGTGGGTCATGACCCCACATGGGAGTCACAGAGGAGGTCCCTTCCAACTCCCAAATGCACCAGTTTTCCTTTTATTTTTGGTAACATAATAATGTGTAAGAGTAGAAAATGATGAACTCTTCTCCTGCCCCCCTCCCTTTTTAAAGGAAACAATGACTTTTGGAGGCAGGAGACTTTTAAAATTTTTGTCATGTAGCTATTTTTGGGGAAAGGAGATTGAACTTGTGGAATATTCATTTCTCTATAATAATAACCACATTATATAAGATGAGATTGAGAGACAACATGGTGCCTGGGATAGAGAGCAGGTCTTTGAGTCAAGCCACCCTGCTTCTGGAATATCCGGTCTGGGGGATCTGGGGCCGGTTGCTGGATGGAGGGTCAGTGCCACTGCCAGTGGTCATTCTTAAAAGCCCTGACCATAGAAGGCGCTGATTTCTGCTTGTACAGAAAATTCCTCATCACAGGCTCTTGACGCTGATGAAGACCCAGATCTATTTAAAAACAAAAACACGCCCCCCCCCCCCAATCACCTTCTGTTTCCAAGGTGTTGCTGGGCCCGACTTGCCGCTCTGGCCCTGGCTGTCATTCTTCTCATCCCTCTGGATAGGTGATATTGAGGGGCCGTGGAGACTCTCCTTGCTCCCCCTGGGCACTGCCATGCACCCCTCCCCCCAGTAACTTCCATGTAACCATCACTTGGCAAACCCTCCTCCTTTGACAGGTCTTTCCATTCTGATGTATCTGCAGCTTTTCTGGAGTCTTGAAAGAGTACCAAGTATGCAGAATAATTGATACATTCATTATTCTGATTTGTGCTGGTGATGCTAAATTTAATTCAGTTGATTAAACAAATAGGGGTTGAGATTTCATTATGTACCACCAGACCCCAACCTAGATGCTGTGGAGGAAACATAGATGGTTAAGACCCTGTCCCTTCACTCTTGGCTCTTAAAATCTGGTGTTGGTCCCAATTAGTGAGACGGTAGACCAGACACCCACAATGATGCTATGAGGCAGAACAGCTTAAGTGATGCAGGAAAGGTCCTATTGAAGAAGAAATACTAATGCCATTGTTATGCTCCACAGTTTGGGCTCACATCTGGCAGAAACAACCTCATTTCTTGCTTGGAGAGATGCCCAAACTGCCTCTGTGCCCCATGCCCTGGGGGCTGCCCCAAGAAGGTTTGTGGTAACATCTGTAGGAATCTTTGACAAGGAGGAGATTCCTCCTGGAGGTGTCAGTGGATTCCTCTCAGGGATCTGTACAGAGAACCTTAACTGTGGAAGAGATAGAGAAGGTGCTTCCCTTTCCATGGAAGAAGGCATTTCCCTAGGGTATGTCCTAAGGCCAAGAGGTAAGTTTGGTTATCACCAGCAGACCATTGGCAATTGTTCCATCTGCTTTCCTAAAGGCAAAAGTAGAGTTTTAGGTTGGAGAAATAGTAATCCTTAATGTTTCCAGACAAACTAGCAGGAGTGTGTTTGTTGTTGTCTGTTTGCATGGCACAAAATATTCAGAGAGGAGAAGGAGAGAGTGAATGAAAAGTACTTATTGAGCATTTACTGTGTGCTGGGCACGGGGTAAGCTCTGGAGGTAAGAATTCAAGCAAGACAGTCCCTGCCTTTCATGAACTCGTTCTTATAGGGAGAGACACACACACGTCTATTGGGAGACGGTCAACAGTAAGAGTGACTAGAGTCTGGGTAAGGGCCTGAGAGTCTGCCCCAGGAGTAAAGTGTGTGATCTCTGCTGGTGGCTTTTGTCGTTCTTATTTCGGATGCTTGTTTTTAACTTTTGGTTCTTAGTTGTGTTCTAAATATGTGATGTAATAGATACACATAGCTGATAGCTGAGTTCTAGGTAGGTGAGTTGCTCATGGGGTTTAGACCTGGAAGGCACCTGGTCATGTTCATTCTTTCTAGTCTTCCCCGAGAGGATGACTAAACCCACGTTTTTAGTAGCTGTCGATGTCACTGAAGAGCCATGTTGTATTCCCAACTGGCATTGCCCTTGGCTGCCAAGTCTTTCCACGTGGCAAGGAGACCATTGAATGTTTGCTGAATGAAGTGGTTTCTGGGCTTTTTTTCCTACTCATTGTAACAGCTGTTTTCCATTGGTTAAATTTCTCTAGGAAGTGGTGATAATCAGAAGCTTTGTTCTTACTCTCATTAATTTCCTTTTTAAAAAAAATTGCTGGTTTGTTTAAATAGCTGGAACTGTTGTAGTAATGGCATCCAGTATTTTCTTCTCATTTTTACCTTTATAATCTTGTGTTGATTTTGACCCTTGCCCTGCCCAGCCAGTGCTATGACTGCAGATGGACAGCTAATCCTGAGATAAATCCCAGCCACTTAACTGGTCATTTTTTATGTCGTGCTTCTGTTCTTGCCAAGCTCAATGCCTTCTGACTCATTTCTTGAAGAAAGTGTTTTGGATAGCCATACATAGGACATCTAAGCCGTCTATAAAACTTGGGCCTAATTAATTTAAATTCTGCATTAATCCTGGACCATGTTTTCTGACATAAGAGCTTAGTGTCAAGGGACGTT